GACGGGAGAGAGAGAAACATCAGTGGGTTGCCTCTGGCAGGCACCCCAACCAGGGATCCAACCTGCAACCTTTGGGTGTACCAGACAGTACCTCAACCAACTGAGCCACCTGGCCAGCGCCAAAACCTCATGTCAAAGGGGCAAAAAGATTTTCAGCTATAGCTCATCTCTATAGGTGATGTTGACTCAGCAGGTGATAAAACCTGTCGCTAGGGCTTGGGGAGCCCTTAGGCCTCCCCAACACTAATCAAGTTTCTGGGAAACAGAGGGACCCTGGTCCTCATTTGCTGGAACTGAGTGACCTTCCCAAGGAGTGGGTGCCTAGCATTTAATTAGAGGCCCAAGCAGCCCGCCCTCCGTGCCTCTGACAGACAGCCCGGGGGGTTGTAAAGCCCGGGGCCTCAGGGTTATCCACACACCGCCCAGCCTTCCTCGGTAGCAGTGACCTTGCCAAAAACAGGCAGGCACAGCACAGGAGTTTGTAAGGGACATGGCAAGCCGCAGCCCTCAGCCTTGCCTCTGGTCATTGGCTTGTCCCCGAGTCTCCCCCAGGCAGTTAGCCGATCCTCCTCCTCCGCCCAGCCTCCCGAGGAAGCTTTGAAAAGTGGAAATCTGACCATGCCACTCCCTGCTCACAAGCCTCCGCCACAGCCCGCTGCTCTTAGGATAAACTCCTACATGCTCACCACGGCTGCCAAGACCTCGCACGGCCTCAGCCTCGGCCTCGCACCTCTCCGCATCTCCTACCTCTCTCCATTCCTTTTGAACAGCGCCTCTTTGCTATTCCTCTGACATTCCGAGCCCGTTCCTGCCCCAGGGCCTTTGCACCTGCGGTTGCCTCTGCCTTCATGGCTCACACCGCTTGCTTGGGTCGCCATTCACCTTCCATCCCTGACATCCACCCTGCATCAGTTAGCCGTCCCCACCCCGTCACCCTCGGCCACGCACCTGTTTCTTGTTCCCCAGAGGACTTAGCACACCCTTGATATTGTCTCAGGTGCCTTGAACTTATTTCTTGCCCGTTCTGTCCACTGTGTCCCCAGATCCAAGAGCAGTGCCTGGCAGGTATTGGGTACTCAGTAAATATTTGAATGAATGGGTGACTCTGAGGCCTTAGGCTTGAAGTAAGCAGAAAATGAGCACAAAGTGGAAGTTGGATTACTATCTCACTTTTCTAGCATTAGAAACTACAATTGAAATTAGTTCAGGCAAATTTAGCTGAGTCCCAGTATTCAAAAGTTATCATCGGAACCCTGTCGTTCTGCTTGTTGAATGTTCCTCCGTTTGAGTTGGCTTTCTTCTCAGGAAGGTTCTCCTTTGTGATGTTAAGATTACCCCCATGGGTCCTGTGTCATCAGTGTCAATGAACCTGGCTGAAAAAGAGGGTCTCTTCCCAGTGCTCCAGCAAAAGTCTCAGGGGAGACTTTCATTGGTTCAGCTAGGGTCATGTGTCCACCCATTACCCAATCACACAAGCCAAGGGAGATGGGACACCCTGATTGGTCGGGCCCACACAGATATGCCTCACACAGTATCTGGGGGACAGAAACAACCTCACGTGAATAGGTAAGACTGAGAGAGAGGAGAAGTTGGTTCCCCCAGAAGACATGGTTTCTAGAAGACAGGAGAATGGACGCTGAGCCACAAAAGGAAACAGATGTGAAAACAGAGTGAAACAGAAACCCAGCCCAGCTCCCCTTCAGGGGACAAGGGTGAGGAGGGCACTTCTCCCAGCCTCCACCTTCCTCCCACAGGCCTCTGTTCGGCAAGATCCCCTCTCTGGCATCCAGAACTTTCCACAGCATTGATTTATCACTTTGTACAGCAATTTGCATTTGCTGTCTTTTCCGAAGAAAGAGATTCATGTTGTAACCTTGCGAGCAGCCCAAAGTTAAAAGGATCCAGTTACAGAATATCAGAAGTGCCCCAGCCCTAAGAGCTCTGGGGCTCTGGGTTTATTTGATGCATTTCTTCCCGGCCTTGCTTCCTCAGCCAATTTGTCTGCCAAAAAAACAAAGACTTCAGTCCTGTGGCATTCCGCATCTAATATTTATAGTGTTCTAGAGTTTGCAAAAGCAATGCCTTCTCATTTATCACTTGTTCCTCGGGAGAGCCCCCAGCTCCGCCCCCAGAAAGTCAGTGGATTGTTCTCCTCTGCCCGAGCCAGGGGTCCCAAACGCCAAATGACAGATGGTGAGGGTCTCACAACTCAGGCCTCTTCGGGACGGGGTTGAAACTGGGCATGGACCAGCTCAGGTTGGACTCTGTACCACTCGGGACCAAATTTGGGGCTGGCAACGTGGCAGCCAGCAGCCCGATTCCACACCTCAGCCCCAGTTATGTTTGGGTTACGAGGTGTTTTTTAAAGCCTGGAAATTTCACCCCACCCCACCCCCCAAAAAATACAGATTTCAAGCTTTAAAAAAAAAATGCTGATGTTGATCATGATCTTGCCGATATTGGGCACATTCCTGAATGGGTAGGGGTCAGCAGACTCCAGCCCGCAGGGCTCTGCCTCCTCTTTTTATGAATAAAGTTTTGCTGGGACGTAGGCACGCCTGTTCCTTTACGGATGGTGTGGAGCTGCTTTCGCTCTGCAGGGACGGAGTCGGATCCTTGCAACAGACATCATACAGCTACAAAGCCAAAAGCATTTACAGGCTGGCCCTTTGCAGAAAAAGGTTTGCTGACCCCTACTAAATGGCAGTGGCCAGCTGGCTTCGTGTCACAGCTGAGGGCTCTTCAGTCCCCAAATAGCAGTGGTTTAGCTATGACGGGTGCTTATTTCTCTCGCATCTGACAGCTTGGGTGTTAGCAGCCCAGGGATAGGAGACACACCCAGTGCTGGAGATCAGGCGCCTTCTGCGATGCACTGCTGTGCTGGGGGCCCGCCCTTGTCCAGAATCCCTGGCCACGCCCACGTCCAGCCAGCAGGAAGTGGAAGATGAGGGAGGCACATTCACCATCGTAGGGGCATCTCCAGAACTCAGTGCTCCGCCCCTCCTCTGCCAGAAGCTGGTCACGGCCACATCCAGCTGCCGGGGAGGAGAGGAATGCAGCCTCCATCCCGGCCGCCCTGTGCCCAGCTAGCCAGCCTCTCTCTGGGGAGAAGGAGCAGAGGGGCGCTGGCCTGACAGACACAGCTGGTGGCTCTTCACAGGCAGGGCCAGCATTTCCATTCGCCACACACTTGGCCTTCTCTTATTGTTGATCCATTTCATTCACTCACAGCATCACCTGCATCTTGTTCCAGGTTATGGGCCCTGTTGTACATTATGTCTGTTCTGCCCCTGGGGCGGAGGGAAGCAGGGGAACTGATGGACTCCAGGGCCAGAGGACAGGGTGCAGGCAGGGAACCATGCAAAATGTGTCCCCTTGGTACGTAAGCTCGTGATCGGGAAATACTGGGCTGAATGGGCTCCCAGATGGAGTGCTCAGAACATCGGGGTCAGCGGGGGACGGATGCACTTTGGATGCTGCAGTGCCCGTGGGGACTGTGGTCATATTCTTGCTCATCCAGGGGTAGGGACCCCCGTTGGCCTGGGCAGCTCAGAGCTGAGTTGATCCCGCCATGCTCCTGGAAACGCTTCCTACACCTGACCCCTCGCTCGGCTCTCCTCCTACCCCACCTGCACCCCCTTCCCAGTCGTCTGGGCTGGTGCCCGCTCCCCCTGCCCGGTTACTCTGGAGCCCAGAGCCCGGGCTGTCGTCTCCAGCTGTGCTCACCCCCTCGCTGGGGTTTTCCCTCCCTGTCAGGGCCACGGGCCCCCTTGGCGTCTGGTCAGGGCCGTGGATCCTTCTCAGACTATCTCCAAATCAAATGCATAGAAAAAAATACACAGAATTACAAAGGAAGCCAGCAATATGCAAATACATTCATCAAAATACTTTATAAACTGCGATGCGTATGCTTCTTTACGCATTAAATAATGTGATGTAGTGGCTATTTAGCTGGTAACCGATAAGCTTGATAACTTCCGTGATTTCAAAGGGGCGCTGGTTTAAATGGCATTCAACATGTCTGTGTTAACCGTTACGCGATATGAAAATATCAGATCTGTGACTTCTTTTGGTGACAAAGGCACCGATACTGCTGTTTCTGTGATTCGTTACCTTCATTCGTTACTGAAGGAGAGGCCAGTTAGAGGATGACAAAAATAAGGACGTCGTTTCCCCATTCAAGTTCATGGGCCGGGGAGTGAGAGCCGCTTCCTTGGGCGGGACCGTTCAGCGCCCTGGCATTAAGGGCCAGCTACGTGCCCGCAGCTCCCAAACCTCTACCTGAGCCCAGACCTTTCCCCTGAACCTGGACGCCTGTCCCCTGCTGCCCACCCCGTCTTCGCCTTGACGTCTAACCAGCACCTCAAGGTCAACACGTCTTTCCTGCCCCCACGGTGCCCCCCGTGCCAGAGGACGGTGGATCTGTCCTCGCTGCTCAGGCCGGAAACCTCGGGGTCGCCCTTGACTCGCACCACAGCTGACGTGACAGCAAATGCCGTTGGTTCCACCAGCAAAAACGGCCCGAAACCAAGCAAGCCACCCCGTCTCCCTCTCCTGTGTTCCTGTGACGGCCACTTCCCAGTGCTCGCTTCCTTATCTCCTACCATCCTCAACCCTGGAGTGTCCCCTCCGCACGGGTGTGGTTTCTGTCTGTGTATCAGTGTGTTCTGTGGGTGCGGTGATGTCCCCGTACCTAGAACCATGCCCGGTCCAGCAGTGTGCTTCTCCTGTCTATCAGCTGAGTGAATTAGTGGGCGAGTAAGTAAATGAATGAGCATCATGATAAATAATGTAACATTGTAATCAGTCATAAAAACGGTCATCAAAATTTGGGGTGCCGTTTCCCTGCGTTTTCTCATTGAACGCTTCCCAGCAGCTTTGTCAGGTCAGCCCACTACTACGTTATCCATCCCCATTGTACAGTTGGGAAGACTGAGCCGGCGGGCAGAGTCACTTAAATTATTATTTTTTTTTATTTTAAATCATTTTTTATTGTTCGATTTCAGTAGTTTCAGGTGTACAACCCAGTGATTGGACACTTACAGAACTCAGTAAGCGACCACCCCGGTAAGTCTAGCACCCCTCTGGCACCACACATGGTTATTGCCAACGTTCCTGGCTGTACTCCCTGTGCTGTGCTGTACATCCCGTGACTGTTCCGTAACCGCCAGTGTGTGGAGACAGCTTGATTTAAACCCGGACGGGAAGCTCTAGAGCCCCGCCCCCACGCCCGGCTGCCTTCCAGGATAAGGACCATCATCCCTTGAGGCCTGCACTGCTGCAAAGCCTGATCCAGATGGGGTCTGTGGCTCCGTCCCAGGTCCCCGTGCCGAGGCTCCGGGAGCGGCTGTCCCTGCACAGCCCACAGCCAGCCGAATCCTGGGGAAGTGACCTCAGTGTGGAGCCCAGACGGGCCACCTGGGTTTGCGTCTCAGCTCTGCCCCTCACCAGCTGGAGGACATTGGGCAAAAAGGGACTCCGCCTCTCTGTGCCTCGGTTTTTCCAGCTGTAAAATGGGGATAGAAACAGTATCTCCCTCACTGGGTTCACGTGGAACATGAGGGTTCTGTCACCCAGGGAGGGTTCTCAAAGTGTGGTTCCAGGATCCCTGGACCCAAAAGCGTGTTCATGATAATATGGAGGCATGTTTGCCTTTTCACCCTTGTTTTTCTCAGCGTTTTTCTAGAAGGTGCGTAGCACCCCCACAACTATTAAAAGGGGTTTTAAATACTCCTCCCCTCTCCACGGGCATGGATCTGCGTGAGGCTGGGTTTCTCATGACGCATAACCAAAACCACGCATCGCAGCAGGTCGGATGCAGACGCAGAGACGGGAACCCAGCCGTCCCCCGTTACATCAGACATGGAGGAGACCTGCAAAAACGAAACGCAGGACAGCCCTCCTCCCCGATTTTATTTCGTCTGGAGAACAGTCAGGGTGAGGCGAATGCAGGCTTACAGTTGTTCCTATGGGAAACAATACAGAATTAGTAAATCATAACACAGAATAAGCTCAGTGTTTCACGTACTCGTGACTGTGAACCCACCTTGGCCCCGCCCTCGAACTGTGATGTCATTCATTCACTCATTCACGCACTGAGTCGTTTATTCAGCAAACATCGGAAGCACACTGCTCATGTACCAGGCCTGGTTCTAGGTGTAGTTACCATTTTTTAAAACACATCTTAAACAAGCAGGTTATTACTATTTTTAAATGAAGCAATATGTTTTAAATTCCTCCATTTCAATATCTCATCTGGTGACTATCACTAGGTCTAACTGACAGAAACGAAACTCTTTGGGGTTCTGAGTCCTTGCTGAGAGCCTAAGGGGCCCCTGACCCCGAACACTTGGGAACCACTGCTGTGGGTGGACGAACACGGGCCTGGGGCCCTGCTCCAGCTTGGCAACACGCCCCTGCAGTGAAGTCCTGTCCCCCATAGATTACACCAGCCCAGGTTCAACCTGCCAGGTGCCCCAAAGCCAAACAGACAACAGGCGCACCCGTCTGCCTGTGCTTGCACCCGAAGACAGCGTGCCCTGGCTGAGGAGCAGTAACACCCTGCTGTTCTCTGAGCTGGATGCGACCCCCAGGGGCCTCCCGTCTCCTGGGTGTTCGTCGGCTCAGCCACTTACTCACTTGTCCCACGAGCATCTGCTGAGGACCTAGCCACTTGCCGAGCTCCGTTCCAGATTCAGGGACACGGGCCGGAACGAGGTGGGCAGAGACCCCTGCCCCAAGGAGCTGAGGTTCTAGTGCGGCAGGCAGGTGATGAAAACCAGAAGATGGATAAATTTCATCAGGTGGTGCTGAATTCTGTAGAGAAACAAAGTCAGGAGAAGAGGAGAATCGGGGGTGAGGAGAGGCCGTTTTAATAGGATGAGCGGGCATGTAGCCCAGTAAGGTAACATTTGAGCCGATCCCTGGGAAAGGGGCGTAAGCAGCCCTTGAAGGCGTCTGAGGCAGCGCCAGGGGCAAAGGCCCTGGGGCAGAAAGGAGATTCACAGGTCTGGGAGCACTCAGGGAGGCCACCGTGGCTGGAGCAGAATGGGCCGGGACAAAGCAGGGGAGGGCAGGTCAGGGTGGGGACAGAGGACGGAGCACGTGGGACCTTGCAGGCCACGACAAGGACTCTGGATTTCGGCCCAAGTGTGAGGTGGAGCCACCGAAAGGTTTTGAGCAAAACTGTGGTGTGCGCGTTAACAGGATCCTTGTGGCTGCAGGCTGGGCTGGGGGCTGGAGGCTAGAGGTGGGAGGACCAAGCTCGTCACAGGGAGATGTGCTAAGAGCTCAGTCCTGAGTCTGTGCTGAAGGTAGAGCTACTATGATATGTCGTCAGGGACGTGAGGGGACACAGAGGGACAAAGGATGCCTCTGGGTGTGTGGCCAGAGCAACCGGCAGCTACCAGAAGGCTTACCAAAACCAACTGAACGTCCTGTTTGAAATTCATTGGCTCCCAATGAATTGAACTGAAGCAAAGCAATCACATTTGTAAATGAACAACACCCAAAATGGCAAAACCTGCGACAGGGGCACCCAGACAGCGGGGACGCAGAAGGTGTCGCGCAGAGCAGAGGCCTCTGTTTGTCTCGCGAACGCCCTGCCTGTGCAGTGGAGCCGCCACCCGGGGACAGCCGGCCGGACCGCGGGACCGCCGGATCGCGGGCGCGACTTCGCCGCGCGCTGACCTTTCCGCATCGCCTCGGCAAACACTGTTTATTGTCATTGGCTCGGCTCCGCGCTCCGGCCCCTCTGCGCTCGGAGCCTTGTGTCAGGCTCAGCCGACTTCTCCGCGCAGCGTAAACATCCCTCCCGAGCTCGTTGCTGGAGCCTCGGAGGGGCCTGTCCTCGTCCAGGACGGCGTCACATCTGGTTTCTAACAGCCGCTCTCCTTCCTCCAAAGACCCGAGTTTTCCTCTCCCTCCCTGGAAAAGAAAAGCAGGCTATATTTGGGGAACTCACAGCTCTTTTTTTTTTTTTTTTTTTTGGCGTTGTTACTCTGTGCCAGACGTGATCTCATCTGGCGCTGCTTCCGTTTCACAGATGACATCACTGAGGCTTAGAGAGGCGCCCTCGCTCCCCGAATATGCAGGGCTTGAACCCCGGCCCCCCAACCCCGGAAACCCAGGTCTCCCCAGCCACGCTGGCTCCCTCGCCACCGCTGGAGGCCGGCGCAACTTTTCGAACTGCGCATCCCGCACGCACCGGGTTCCTCCGCCTCGGCTCTGCTGACTCTTGGCGGCCAGCTCACTGCCTGCAGCGGGCCCTCCGGTGTGATGGAGGGTGGAGAGCAGCGTCTTTGGCCTCTGCCCACTGCACGCCCCGAGCACGTCCTCCCCAACCTGTGACAACCCCAAACGTCTCTAAACTTCACCTTCCCACTGGCGTGCCACAGGGATGACTAAAGCACGCCACACCTGACTGTGTAGTCGGGGGCACGGACCTCTTTTCCCTCCGATTGTCCAATTAAAAAAGGACGACAGCCAACCCAACAATAGCCGTCTGGTGTGAATGAATCAAAATGATACCTATTCTCTTCTCAGATTGGCAAACACTGTGTTGTTTGGTGTGCTGCGGAATTTTAGTCATTCGTTTACGGGCACTGGGAAGTGGGAAAGGTGGAAGATGGCTGCTCTAGACGCTGCCCAATGGCCCCCACTGGCCTGACACCTGCTCCCTGTGCACCAGGACACCCACCGCCTTTCCCAGCGTGCAACGCTGCCCCCTGCAGGTCCTGTGATAGAAATCCCCTCTCACAGAATATTTAGTTGCCGCTTCTCCAGCCCTCCCAGCCTCCCAGAGCCTTAAGACCCTGGAGAGGGGCAGCTGTGCCCTGCACAGCCTGCCTGTCTCAGCCACGTCCACCGACCCACAGTCCCCCTGTCAGCGGTTATTACCAGGGTACCCACTCTTGGCCAAGTAGTGGGCGGGGCCACAGCAAGCAGAAAAGGCCCCGCCTTGTGGGCTCACCATCCAGGGTGGGGAGATGATGATAAACAAGAAAACAATCTGCAGGATAATTTTGAAAGCGCTGAGTGCAACAGAGATCAACAGCCTGATGAGTGAGAATGGTGGGCGACTTTAGTTAGGGCCGGGCGGTGGGGGGGGATCAGGGACAACTTCTCAGAGGGGGGGATGTCTGCTCTAAGACATCACTGTGAGAAGGGAGGAGGGACAGGTCCAAGGCTGAAGAAAGAGCCGGAGCTGGTGCCTTGAGACGGCAGTGAGTTGGCGTGTTCGAGGGACAAGGGGCCCGGAGGGGCTGGAACGGAGCAAGCAGAGGGCCGAGGGCTGGGAGACGTGGCAGAGGGCGCCAGCCTGGCAGATGGATCACTGCGCAGGAATGGCAGGAGGGTCTGGGGTCCGGGAGGGTGCCTCTGGCCATTTGGGGGTGACGAGGTTATGAGAAGGCAAAGAGAGGGAAGGTAGAAGGCATAGTCCAGGTGGAGGCCATTTCTGCTTCGAGCAAGGAAGTGAGGATGAAGAAGCAAGATTTGCTTCTCTTTTTAGACTTCATTGCTCTGATGGCCTCGCCTCTTTCCTTTAGATTTTCAAACACTGGATCCGAGGATTCGGGTCGCAGCTTTCGAGCAACTGTCACATCAGGGCTCCCGCAGAACTCCAACCCCTTTTCCGCTTTTCAGTTTCCTAGCTCCACAGCCAAAGTCCCAGCGTCGATTCTGACTGGCTGAGCTCAGTCACATACCCGCCCTGTGGGTGGGGAAGAGCACCTTGACTGGCAGTCAGGACCTTTGTGTGTGGGAGGAATCGGGGGTGCAGTGGCTGTGGCGTTTTAGGAATTACCTGCGGGAAAGTGTGCCTGTGTGTGTACTGGCTTCAAAATATGGGGGAAACTGCCAAATCAAAATGAATACGCAGTTAATGAAATATTTATATTTGAATAGAAATAATGAAATGTAGCATGATTTCCGCCCATCAGTTCTGGAATATTTCGACTCTTTGTTATGTATCGATCATCTCTAATGCAGGATGTGGGCAGAGATGGTGTGGGCCGGGTGTGCGCTAAGAGATGCCAATGACCTCAAGTATTCACAGTTCCACCCAGATGGCCCACGGGGGCGGGGCGGGGCGGGGAGAAAGTTCCCCCAAGGCAGTGGGTGCTGCAGGTCCCATTAGCTGCCTGGTGCTGGGCACTTGCGGAGCTGAGCACTGTTTCCATTGTTTCCCAGGTTCCTCCACTTTACGTGACCGTGGGCACAGAGAGGTAAAGTCCCTTGCCCAGGGTCCCACGGTTAGGAGGTGGCAGACCAGGGTTCAAAACCAGGCAATCTGCTGCCCTCCCATCTCGAGTCTGGTGTCACCCAGAGAAAGGGGAACAGCTGCCGGCAGGTGCCACACACAGTGTCCCCCACGCCGGCCCACCCGCTCCCCAGCACCGAGAAGCAACCCTGGCATTCCCATTTTTGTCCAGTAGCTGAGAGCCTCCATCTGCCTGGATCCAAAGCGAGGCCTCTCTGTCTGTCGGCCCGCCTGTGCCAGGAGCACCTCCACTCGGTCCCCAGTCGCAGCAAGACATAGCTTTTACAGACCACAAATGCGGTTATTACGAGGCAGTTTCGGTTAGATTCAGGGCGGGGAGAGAGAACAGAATGGAACGGCCCCCGCCATCGGGCTCGGAATGGCCCCCCAGCAGCACTTAACTCAGACAGATGGGGAGAGCGGCCGCCAGGAAGGGAAGTGGCTCGAAGCTTTCCAACCACACGCTGCCTGCCCCAGGCGGAGGAGCCTCTCTAAAGGACTTAGGGGTTAACAAACTCCTCAAGGCGGGGAGGTGGCGAGGGGGGGTCCTGACATCTCTCTCCGCAGTGACTCCATGGAGCAAGGTATAACCAAGCAAGAAGGTGACAGCGAAACTGGAAGACTTCGTGGGCACACGGTAGGGGCTGGATCTAAGCAATACACAAACACTGTTCTTATCACAATCCTAAGAGATAAATACTGTTACTGCCCATTTTATCCGGGGATCAACTGAGGTTTCCAGAGATTACACGGTTTGCCCGAGAACGCAGTTTACGACGCTGTGGAAGATCTCCACGGGTCCCTTTCATGGGGAGTGTTTTGTCACTTCCTCGGGGACATCTCCTTCTTCTTCATCACAACCACACGTCCTCACTTATGTCCATGGTTAAGTTCTCCTTCCACTGAGTTCTCCTGGCTGCTTCTCTCGAGTTTCCCCCGGAGCGAGCGTCCGCCTTCCCGGGGGCAGCTCCGTTTCTTCCAGCGCGGCGTTGTGTTCCACTCGGGTTTCTGCGCTGCACTTTGGTCCCTGCCGGCCAGTTCTCTCCTCTGACCCCCCGCGTCTGCAAAATGTCTCGTAGACGTGCCCCTGGGAGACGAGGAGGCCTTGCCTCTGTGCGTGAACAGAACGGCAGGTGCGCTGTGACTGGTCACCAGTGAGCTTTGCCAGAAGTGACGTGATTGGCCACTGATCACGATGCGCATTTGTTATGTACACGTCTGTCTGTGGACGGGAGAGCCAGCGGCGAAGTTTGTACCTCATGTCATTCCAGTGCGAATGTGGTGGCAGCTAAAGGTGGACCGGGTGGGGGGAAACGGGCATTCCACTGAGCTGTGGAAACTGACGTTTGTGGGTGTCAGCACCATGCAAAGTGGGGGCTGCCTGGAAGTGGCTGTTCCTCTGGTGGATGTCACTGCTGTCCTCTTTGTCGGGTCATCGTGTGTCAGTCCTTGGCACTGCGGGGCGCCTTGCTGCCCTGGTCCAGTTCCGAGTCTACCTCCTTTCTGCATCGCTCACCTCTGCTGCTTTCTTCCGTGTTGCTTCAAGTTCAAGTAGACTGTCCCCTCCAGTGGCAAGATAACTGCAGCTCTAGCCAGTATGGCCCAGCTGGTTGGTGCATCGTACTGTAGATGAAAGGTTGCAGGTTTGATTCCTGGTCATGGTACACGTCTGTGTTGTGGGTTCAGTCCCCGGTCTGGGCATGTATGGGAGGCAACCAGTCGATGCTTCTCTCTCGCAGCAATAGTTCTCTTTCTTCTTTGCTCTCTCTCTAAAAAGCAGTGAAAAAAATGTCCTTGGGTAAAGATATTAAAAAAGAAGAAGAAGAAGAAGAAGACGACGACTACAAGCAGCTTCAAACCCTGTAGAAGAATTTCTCTTTGCCAGCAGCTCTTTAAAAATCCCAGGGCTGACTCTCATTGGCTTAGCTTGGGTCACATGCCTATCTGTGAACCAATGGCAGTAACCAAGGGAATGTGGTGCTCTGATTGGTCAGGCTGAATTAAGACCAGCCCACGTGTACTTATGTAAAGGAGTGATGGCACCTAAGAGCATCACAGTGAAGACCAAGTGAGCCAAACAAAAGTCTCCACTGCCGGGTATGAATTTCCGCCCATCGCCTGGCGCAGGGGAGGCAGTGAGTGCCCCGTCTTCTCACTGGATGCCAGCCCCGCTTCCTAGGGGCAGCTGGCACCCAGCACATTCTCCACGGCCTTTCCTGGCCTGGCATTTAATTCCTCTTAATCTGCCCGCCAAGTGGTTCCATCCCCCGCACCAGCCCCCGGTCTGCGATTCCTTTGGCACCGTCCGAGCCTGGAAAAACTCGGTGACATCAGCCATGACATAGGCTGTATTTTTTATCTTGATTTTAATTCCAGCTCATTCTCCTGGCTGTATCTCCGGGCCCGGAGCCCTGGGGCCCACGCTAATTTGCTTGTCCCACCTCATCTGGTGCCGGAATAACCATTTTAAAAACTGCCTTGGGGAAATCTAATCAAATGAGAACAAAATCTAATTTGGCACTAAAAGCCTTTGACTGAAGCTCTGTTTTCTAGGGCCTTGTGGAGCCTGAATAATAAACCCTTTCTGGGTTGTTGTTTTTTAAGGGCTGGGGGTTGGAGAGAAGGGAGAGACGTGAAAGGGGAGAGTCTCGCAGAGGAAACAGCTCTGGACGCTTCGACACCCGTGGCATTGGACAGTAATGGGCAGGGGTGGGCCTCTGAAAGTAACCCATTTCCCACCGCCAGGCCAAGAATTTAGGCTTATTAGCATTCTCTATACTGCACCTTTATCCGAAAGACCTGGGTCCCAATCTTCAGGGACAACCCAGTAGATCCCAAGCCAGGGTCTTGGGCGACCTAGGGGAGAGAACGGAGTTCCCCCAGTGGGGACTTCAGTAAACCTCTTTCTCCAGGGCGTCGTAAAGAACAGTGGAGCCCTGTGCTGCTTCCCCTACTCGTGGTCCTGGGTTCCTTTCCGAATACTCGTGTGTCGGAAGCTGCGGCCGTTTCCTGGGACACGCACACAAAATGCAAAGCCTGGCGTGTAATGTTTCAGGGAACCTGTGACCCTTTGGAAGGGTCCCCATCACGCTGCCTGTTGCTTCTTCTCACTGTGGCTGCCAGGACCCTACAGGATCTGGCCCCTCTACCCTGTAAAGTCGTCTCCTCCCTCCCTCCCCGGCCTCCTTGGGCTCCTCAAACACCCTCAAGTCTGCTCCTGCCCCGGGACCTTTGCACGTGCCCTCCCCTCTGCCTGCGGCCGTGTGCCTTGTCCTCCTGTATTCCCCCAACTCCCTCTGGTCATTCTTCAAAGAGACTTCCCGTGCCCACGTGGCCCAGGGGTGCCTCCGGGGTCCATCTCTGGACACAGTGTCACATCATCATCCTTTATGTGTCCCTCATCACTGTGACCACCAACACCACCATCTTTCCTTGTCCCTGCCCCCTCCCCCACTCAGACGCCAGCCCCCTGAGGGCAGGGATCCCGTGGGCCTCACTCACTGCTGTGTCTCCAGCACCCAGGGCAGCCCCCGGCATACCATAGGTGTTTAATAAATGGCTGGTGAGTGGATATATTGATTTTTACCGTGTCCGGGCACATGGATTCTGTTAATTACTTAGTACATTTCTCTCCCCTGTTTCATTCTTTTTCCTTCATTCGTTCCAAAGGGAAGCAGCCACATCACCACCGGTATTACTCCGCGAGGGGGGTCTTATTAAATTTCACCCTCTTCCTTGAGCTTCCAAACCAGCTGAGAAATAAAACTAAGGAGTCAGCAAACAGAAGCCAAAATAGCACTTTGATGAATCTGACAAAGGCCAGGCTGGAGGGCACGGGCCTCTCTCTGAGGGTTGTCATGACGACCGCTGCGTGCGCGCAAGTCCTGCTCCTGACTTTTGGTGAGCGGACGCACGGATGCAGTTCCGTGGAGTGAATGCCCGGGGTCTGGACCGCCGGGTCAGAAGGTGTGAGCATGTTCAAGGTCAGCCGACCCTGCCAGGCAGCCTGCCACGTCGGGCACACCAGTTTGCACGCCCACCGGCATCTGCACAAGTTCCGGTTGTTCCACACCCCCCAACACTTGGTATTGTCCGTTTCCTCCCGTTAGCCATTCCCGTCACTGTGTCGTAGGTGGAATTCAAGGGGCCCACAGACACGAGTGCAGAAGAAATCCACTCTTCCTTTCACTAACCTACGACTGAAACTTAGAGGCCGCTCCCGTTGTGAACATGGGCCACGCCCCCCTGCGGGTGGGCAGAGTCTCTGACTCTGTCATCCGTGGAAACCAGCCTTCTCTCACTGTTCCGTCGCCGTCACCACAGTTGTTGCAAAACGAAATATCGCCGCGCATCACTGCTCCGACATGATCCCTCTCTGCAACGTCTTGCTTTTACTATCTTAGTTAAAAATAACTTCTGAAGATGCCCATGGTTATGTGGCAAAATATTTTAGTATGTTGGTAACTGTGTTTCAAAACAATCGGATTTCTCTGTAACCCTGTGCACTGTGTTTTCTGCGTGTAAAAGCGCTCGGAAGGGGGTCCCAGACGTCCCCTGCTCGCACAGGGCTCCACGCTCAGGCGTGGGGGCGCAGGACGGGGGGGGGTGGTGTGCCCGGGAAAGGCGTTTGCTCACGGCCGTCTCACGGCCTCTCGGCCCCCTCTCCCCTCCAGCTTTCTTCGGGAAGTACCTGAACGAATACAACGGCTCCTACGTGCCCCCGGGCTGGAAGGAGTGGGTCGGCCTCCTCAAAAACTCGCGCTTCTACAACTACACGCTCTGCCGGAACGGGGTGAAGGAGAAGCACGGCTTCGACTACTCCAAGGTGAGCTCAGCGGCCCCCGCAGCCCCTGCGCAGTTCCCCGGCGCCCTGCGGGGCTCGTGCAGGGAGGCCGCGGGCGAGGGTTCACGGCCCAGTCTTGCCACCTACTATGTGCCCTCGGGTCTGCCGCCTACTCCTAAGGACTTCAGACCTGGGGCATGGGCACACCCTCGCACCCTTAGTCGAGTGCACTCCTAGGGCCCCGGCACGGTGCTGGGTGTCTCGTGTGCGACTCTGCTCTTCACCACGGTCATACAAGGTGAGTGGACCGGCTGAGTTTGATGGCGTTATTCGTCCGTTCCCTCAACAAGTGTTTATCATTGAGAGCCTGCTCTGTGCCACACTCTGTGCCAGGGGCTGCACACACACGCACATGCACACACGTCCTCTCTCCTGGTGTGTCGCCCCCAGTATGCGCCGTTTCAGCCACGCCTGCCTCGCCGGTTATTACAACCCGAGCAGCACCTTTACTAGTACTTGCCTGCCCTGGATTTATCTGAGTCTCACCTGCCTTCTCTTCCAGAAAGCCTTCCTGGATTGCCCTAAACAGCAGGACATATTCTTGAATCAGACTGTCCTCTTTCCGTTGTGACCAGAAACTTAACTCAAAAGGGCTCCCCTGAAGAGGGAGCGTTCACCCATTTGAGGGCCCAGCAGTAACAGCACCAGACAGAGCTGGGCCGGTGGCTCCAGCGTGGCTCATGTGGTGGTTTCTCTCTCCTCTGTGCTGTGTTCTTCTCTTCGACCCCTTCCACCCTCTCTGCTTCCTGCCCTGCTGCGTGCGTGCGTGGGAGTCTCCCGCCCGGGATTCCCAGCAAGTCTCACTGCCTCCCACTGGCTCTGGCCGGGGCACGTCGTTCTAATATCGAATCGTGAAGACCGGTTTCTTATGAGGAGCTCTTCCCACCCCAGCCCCCGGCCCCCGGCTGGAGGCAGCGAGCTTCAGCGGGTGGGTCCCCTGGGATCTCACTGCTGGTGCGGATTCACCCCCCAGAGGCGCTGACGTTGATTTCCTGTTGGCATCCGACCCCTCCTTCTACGAGAGAGCTTTGCACCGTTTCAGATCCACTGTTGGTGACCTTTGTCGCGTTCAAGGGTTTTTCTTACGCCTTTACATCACCATCCATGACTAGACCAGCGTCTCTTCTACTGACCGAACATTATTTTTATGCCTTAGGTTCTGCAAGCCCCCTTATAAAGCCCTTTTGTCCTCTTAAAATTAATCATAAAAAGGCTTTGAAGGAAAAGCACGTGAAGTAGCAAGGGGAATTCTCCACTTTCCCCCCTCCTCGGGGTCCCCAGCCACTGCCTGGGATTCTTCCTCGGCACTCCAAGGCGTATGAAGATAGGGGTCGACCTCTTCTCGCCTCTCTGCCCCTCTCCCTCCCTCCCTCCCTCCCTCCCTCCTCTGCTGGGTTTGACTCTCCATCCTTCTCCTTCTGCTAACGGTGTATCCCGGGCAACTTCCCACCTCGGTGAGCGCCAGTCAGCAGCCCTGGTATCGTCTGCACAACCCTGCGTGGTGTGAGCGCAGCGTCAGCCCATCGCCCGCCCTCCCGTTGCTGGTCACCGCTCTACCAACAGCACCACAGTGACGTAGGAATGGTGTCTGCGTGTCCCTGAAGGCGGGCCTGCGGACGACGCACGCAAGACACCAGTGGTGGGGAACGTGATACAGAGTAACTCGGGGTAGAAGCCTGAGCCACTTCCTCACCACCTTCTCCTCTGAAATAGTATCCTGTTCTGAAAGCGATCATTTCAGGCAGAGCTGCTTCCTGGGGAGCAGTGGGTCCATTTCAAGAACACGCTACCTTCCAGAGAGGTCAGCGGCGGAAGATGTGCCAAGGTCAAGGGGGGTGTTAGGCACATCTCAGCCTCGTGGCTGAGCTGGGCGGCCCTCGGGCTCTGCCCTTCCCTGTCCTCCCATCCCCCTCCCCTCTCCCCGCCACCCAGTATCAAAGCAGGTCTCCCCACACAGGCCTCGGCGCTGCCCCTCAGCGCACCCCTGCATCACCCCTGCCAGTTCCCCCTCTTTCTGTTCCTCAAGCACGTGGCAGGCTCGCTCCCGCCTCTGAGCCCTTGCGCTGGCTGTTCCCTCTGCCTGGAACTCTTCCCGGCATCAGTGGTTCTCAGTCCTGGCCTCACACTGGAATCCCCTGGGGAGCTTTCAAAAAGTCCGATGTCCGGGCCGAACCATCAAACCAGACACTCTGCAAGTGGGCCCGGGCATCGGTGAAGCTGCCCGAGGATGCCAGCGGCTAAGAGGAACCCCAGTAACACAGATCTGCCCATGCCTAGCTCCTTTCTCATCGTTTAGGTCTCAGCTCAGTTGTCACCTCCTCAGAGAGGCCCTCCCTGACTGCCCCAGCTCAGGTGGGCCCCCCACCCCCGCTCCCAGTGACTCTCTGTCACATCCTGTCTTCCTTCATCGGCCGCGTCCTGTCACTGCCTTGGGGTTTTGCTCACGTCTTCATCTGCTCCTGCCCCCAACGCAGGCACTCGGGGAGCGCAGGGTGCACCCACCCCGCTGGCTGGGGGCCCCCGGAGCCTCACAGAGACTTCGGGCTTAGGAACCAAGACTCGGGAGGCCTGGCCATAACGCTTTGCAGCTGTGTGACATCCAGTCACATAACTTCTCGGTGCCTTCATTTCCTGTTCTGGAGAGCGGGGCTCGGCGTCACACACACTTTCGGTGGTTGTGTAAGAATTAAACAAGCTAACAGGAGGACACAAGACAGCTCCTGGCACACCATAAGCACTCGGCGGTAGAAGCTGTTGTTATTTCAACATCTACCACGAGTGAATGACAAATCGCAATTTCTCGCCCGTCCTCCCTACACTTTTCCCTACTTTTTTTCCCTCCATTACGCATAGCGCCATTTGACATTCGTATGTTTTACCTGCTGACTTACTACCTGTCTGCCCCCTAGACCGTCGGCTCCCCGAGGGCAGGGATTGGCTGGCTCGGTCTCGGCTGTGTCCCGATGCCTGGCCCGGCGCCTGGCACACGGCACCAACCCTCAGCTCCTCACACGTCCCCCCGTCTCTTCCGCACCCCCAGGATTACCTCACAGACCTCATCACCAACGACAGCATCAGCTTCTTCCGCACGTCCAAGAAGATGTACCCACACAGGCCCGTGCTGATGGTCATCAGCCACGCAGCCCCCCATGGCCCCGAGGACTCGGCCCCCCAGTACTCGCGCCTCTTCCCCAACGCCTCGCAGCACATGTAAGCTCCAGCTCCCGCCCGCAGAGGCCAGGGTGGGTTTGGAGGGGGGAGGGCCACCGCATTGTCACAGCAGTGACAGAGCTGGGCGGAAGACCCCGGAGCACACAGCTCACCTGCGGGGAAAGCGGGGGACAAACCCAGCCCACCCGGCCGCACTGCCAAGGCAAGCAACACGGTTTAACCTGGGGGCCACGTCCTCCCACTGGCAGGTCTGTGCCTAGAGCTCCATGTCAGTGTAACAGGTTTCCTTTGTAGTCCCGTGCATTTTATCGTCTATATTTTAAAACATTGTTTTGCAAAGGGGTCCATAGCTTCATCAGACCAATAATACATTCGCCTACCTCTGTTAAGCACCGGCTGTGTGGCAGGCTCGGTGCTTGGCCCCAGATGTGGCACCAAGTTACTAAATATGCACAGGAACCCCTGATGTCTCAGCTCACAAGTCCCCTGAAATCCAGCAGCTAGCTCCAAACGACGGTGCATCATCCCACAGTGTCGGGGAGAGGCCTTTTGGGGAGGCTCTGGCTCAGGGTCTCCCGAGGCTTTCCTAGGCTGTACCAGCTCCTCACTCTGTAGTAGCTGCCCTCCTCCAGAGCAAACGAGATCCGAGATGGGAGAGACAGAGGGAGAGAGACATGGGGAGGGCACAGGGAGGCCAAGGCGGGAGCTGCAGCCTTTTATAACCCAACCTCCAGTGACACCCCAGCGCTCTGCGGTATTCCATTGGTCACACAGACAACTGCTGCAGCTGTGATTGGTCACATAGTCACTACTGCTGCTGTGATTGGTCACACAGGCACCGCTGCTGTTGTGGGGGTGGGGGGGCTGCCCACAAGTGTGATACCAGGAGTTGGGGCCCCGGAGGGCTCCCTTGGAGGCTGTCTGTCGGCCACACGTGGCTTTCCCACGTTACAGGCCAGACGTGGAGGCACAGAGAGGTGGGGTCACTGCCCTGCGGGCAGCCAGCTGGTGAAGGCAGAGCCGAGGCTCACATGCGGCCCACACTCCCGCCTCCCCTCCCTCTGCCCACCCTGCCAGTCCTCCTTCCTCCAGCTGGCGGATAAATCTTTCTGGAAAGTTCTGCTTTGCTCTGCCTCAGACCACCTCCCACTTAAGGATGGCACGCGGCAGCCCTTGCCGTGATATCAGGGTGACAAGGACAGGGCAGTTTGGAACCCTGCTGCATGTCCCCGATGTTTAACTTTCACCACACTGAGAAGGCGCCCCCCGCAGGCCTCTCGCTGTACTTACTTCCTGACAGCACCCCGAGGGGCTCGCAGAGGATGCTGGTGAGTTAACCTCTGACCTCTCTGGGGGGGAGGATTGACAGGTGATGAGCTGTGTTCCCCCCGGGCAGTAATGCCACCCTCACCCCCCAGAGGGCAGCACGGCGGACTTGCCGGCCCTCCCCCCAGCCCACTCCTCCCACCAGGATGCGAGCCTCTCCTCCCACCCCCACTAAAAGCTCACCTTTGCAGAAGGGGCATGTGGCCAGCTCAGTCCCACCTAAGGGAGCAGCCGTGGGGTTGGGGGGTACACTTGGCTCCTGTGGCTTCTCCTTTCAAAGAGGCACCGGCACTGCCCTTCCCCCGCCCCGGCAGCCCTGGTGTTTCATGACGAGAGTGTTTGACGTTGCCTGCTCATTTATTTTCCCTTTGAAATGAAAATTACAGAAACTGAACACGGGCAGCGCCTGCTACGACTTACCCAGAGAGCCCCTCGCCTTATTAGGGGCGTGCTTGGAAGGCTCTGTTATCTCTGGGGTGTAATCATTTCCAAAACAAACCCAGAAAGTTCCGCAGCTGGGAGGTTTAGTCATGACAGTCAAGGGGGCAGGGGGTGAGGAGGGGACGGAGCCCTGCAGGTTGGGTCGGAGTTCCAGATCTTTCCGTCGGGAGGCTGCTGTCAGAGACTCTTTCTGTGCCCTGTTCCCGGGCTGGGCCTTGTGGGTTCTAAGAAATGCTGCTGGATGCCCCATTGTCCCCCGTCCCTCACTCCGCATGCACTCGCACCCACTCAGACACACTCAGGTGCAGAGACGAGCACCAAGATGCAGATAGGCATGCACAGACACACACAAATGTGTGCACACAGACACACAGGCCAGACACAAACACACAAAGACACACAGTTACACAAGTGCACACACACCCGTACACACAAATGCAGATGCACATTTCAGGATGAACACAGACACACGAGAGATACACGCGAAGGCGCAGACATAAACATGCAGACGCACAAAGACGTATCCGAACGGACACCTACAAACATGCGAAGGGACAGACACGCCACCACAGGCACGCACACGCAGAAGTGCACGACCTGCAGGCACCCCGAGGTGCACGCGTGCTGACACCAGCCCCAGAGTCGCACCCCTGGGTGGCGTCTGACTGTGGGTCCACGGGCCGCTCCTGCTCTAAGCCGTGGGAGCCAGGCCAGGTGGCCAGGCTTGGGGCGAGGGGCCACGAGGGCAGAGCCACCCCCCACCACCCCCAGCAGAAGGGGGGGGTCCTCCTTCAGGCTCTGCTGTGAACACACCAGACATTCCTCAGATTCTTGAGGAAGTGAGGGCTGCAGCTGGGTTCCCACGAAAACGCCTGGACGCCGTCTCCGAGGAGGCCCGGCCCGGTGCGGGCGATGGTGGCGCGGGCCGCAAGTGGGACCCCGGGCCCTGCAGCCCGTGCCTCTCAGGGAAAGGGCTTCTGGACCCATCCCCCGCAGACCCCGGCAGACTGGCCCCTCCCCATCTCAGGACAGACACCAGCCTCAGAGAATGTGACAGACTCAGGGATGATTGCTCAAAATCGCCTCCTGGAATGTGGCCCCTCGGGCCGGGGGACCGTTTTCCCACACCGCCCAGCCGCTCTGAGAGGCTCTTTGTGCAGCGCGGCCGGCAGCCCTGAGCCAGCCCCTCCGGGAGGGGGTGGCGGGAGCTTGTTCCTGGGAATGTTCGACACGCGGGTCAGGCCCCAAACTAGTCCGCAGGAGCGAGAGGCCTCCGCTAATCAAAGGAGGCCTTGGGCCGGGTTGGATTTAGCGGCAGGAGACCGGCCAGGGGCTGAAAGCAAAGTCCAGCAGGAATCTGGAGGCTGTGACTCACCGGCTCTGCATAGCAACCGTCGCCATAACGGCGGGCTGCCCAAAGCCGCAGTGTTATTACTTCTGCCCCGAGAACATTCCGACATTCAAGAGGCTGTGAGAGTCCTGGTGTGGCCCTGGAGAGGGGGGGGAGGGAGGTGGGCCAGCCTCCGCCAGGACCTGTTCTGCTCACCCCCGCCCCCTGCAGCCCTGGGCCCCTTCGTGGCCAGTCTGAAAAGACTTTTGTCACTGGAAACTTAACCGTAATGTGCAGCTTCGCCTGGGGAGAGGATAAGATGGGGGGGGGGCCCTCAAATGTCATCAGTTCAAGGGATACCCACTGTGTGTGGGGTTTTAACTAGAGCACCCCCTATCCAAGGTATCCCCACCCCGAAACCCCCGATATGCCGGTGGGGTTTTCAGGAGCCCGGATCCGAGTTTCGCACAGACACGGTGGATGTGAGGGTCTCCGGCCGGGAGCGCCACCGCACCGCGGCTGGGGTTCAGACCCCAGCTCTGCCTCTGGCAGCTCGGTCCCCTCGCTGGGCCTCAGTGCCCTCATTTCTCACGCGAGGAGAGTAAAATTAGCGCCAGCTCCCAGGACCGTCATGAATATTAAATGAGATGATATAAGGCAAACCTTGCAAGCCGTGTGCCCTGCACGCACGTGGTCAGCGCTCAGCAGAAGTCAAAGGCTGTTTGTTCCATTGTCATTAGTCACAGCTGACCCTTCAGCAGACGCCTCGGAGGTCGGTGGCTTCCCCGCCTGCTCCGTCGCCAGCAGGGCCCCACGCTGCCCTGACCCTCCACTTCCTCTTCTGTGAATGGGAGGTCAGATGCAACCGGAAGAATAATTGTGCCAGCTAAGTCATAGGACGTGGCAGGTCCCACACACAGGCCCCATCCTCACAGCGTCGGCCATACGTGCTCCTCTATTAGCTGTTTAATTTTTAATCAGTTGCCCTTTTTGGAACCAGAATCTATTGCAAAAGGCAATTAATTCGGCAGGGCACACCTTCGCCGTGGTAACCGTCCCTCTCCATCTCCCCAAGGGACCTGGAAGGGAAGTGCCGTCCCAGTGGGCGCTGTGCCTGCTGGAGGCCCCACGCGGGAGCCTCTCTCCTTCTTTAAAAAGAAAAACGAGCCCATTCCAGACAGGTGTTCAAGGAAGACGGACACCAGGCCGAGACTTTGGCCTTGACGTCCGGCTGTGCTGAGAGAGCTGGAACGGGAAGGACTTTGAGTTTGCGGCCGTGGCTCATTTAACACGGCACCTCCCGAGGTCTTCCCGTGCGGCCACTCCACGCGTGGAGAAATGCTGACCTGACATGCAGCAGCGGCCCTGACGCCAGTGCCCACTTGCCCCCAGGCGGGGGCGTTTCACACCGGGCAGCAGACAGGGCGCAGGGCGGGCGCCCCCTCGTGGCCTGGGCTGGTTGGGGGGTCCCGGCACCCTCCGGGCTGACCTGCGCCTGTGTCCTCCCGCCAGCACGCCGAGCTACAACTACGCGCCCAATCCCGACAAGCACTGGATCATGCGCTACACGGGGCCCATGAAGCCCATCCACATGCAGTTCACCAACATGCTGCAGCGGAAGCGCCTGCAGACCCTCATGTCGGTGGACGACTCCATGGAGACGGTAGGCCGTCCCGCCCAGCCCCGCCCTCCCCCCTCCGCCCTCCCCCGTGTGTGTCAGCGCGCAGGGGCCTGGGGAGAGCGGCTCTGGGCAGCCCAGGCCACCCCTGCCTTCAGGAAACGGAGCCCCTAGCTCTGCTCGGTCCTGTTCACTGTGACGGCCACGCGTGGCCACTGTTCACACACTCCAGCAGCTTTGTCGAGGTGAAGTTCACGTGCATGTGGCTCACCCAATTAGAGCGCGCAGCCCGGGGATTGACGCACCCGCAGACGTGTGTGGGCGGCGCCGCGGTCACCTCCAGGGCATTGCCGTCGCCCCGAGAAGAAAGCCCGCAGCCTTGCCCGCCCCACCAAGCCCCCTCACCCGCCACCCTTAGGCAGCCTCCAGCCCACACCCCCATGTCTCCACATCTCGTCACGTGGGCATTTCACGTGAACGGGGCACACAGAGTGTGGCCTTTGTGACCAGCTGCTTGCATTAGTGGGAGTTTCCCAGGTTCACCTACCTGGTGGCCGATAGGAGAACGTCATTCCTTTTTACTACTAACAGCCCACTGCGTGGGTGCCCACCATACACCTCGTGTATCCACAGCTGTTTACACTCGTTAAAATGCAATGCAGTTGGGACCGCGAGGCAGTGCCCTACAGTAGCCACACGCGGCCGGTGGCCGCCGGGTAGGAGGGGACAGAAACTGATGTGGCCGGCGGCACCGCGGAAGGCTCCGTTGGAGCATGGTGGGTCACAGGGTCCCGCCGCAGTCTGCTTCATTCGCTCACCAGCACCTGCTGAGGGACAGGAACCCCCGCCCCGATGGGGCTGGCACTGGCGCTAAAGCAGGGGGCGGACGGTGAGGACCGCTGTGAGGAGGAGTAAGGGGACAGGAGGTGACCGGCCGTGGGGAGGCTGCAGTTGTCAGTGGGACAGCCCCAGGGGCTGTGCGGAGAGGGGACGCAGCCTGAGACCTAGGTTCCCATCAGCTGGGGAGCGAGCAGGCGGGGTCTGCTGACCCCGCTGTCCCCGCTGTCCCCACGGCCTCCCCCCCGCATCCCCCCCCGCCCCGCACCCTCACCTGCCGTCCTCTGTCGCTCGCAGATCTACAACATGCTGGTGGAGACGGGCGAGCTGGACAACACCTACATCGTGTACACCGCCGACCACGGCTACCACATCGGCCAGTTCGGCCTGGTGAAGGGCAAGTCCATGCCGTACGAGTTCGACATCAGGGTGCCGTTCTACGTGCGGGGCCCCAACGTGGAGGCTGGCTCGCTGTAAGTGTGGGCCCCGCCCACTGAGGCCTCTGGGCTCCACCCGCAGGCACCAGACGGGCAAGAAGCAGGCGCTGCCGCTGCCACCGTGCGGCCCGAGCCTCCCCCCGGGGAGACTCCGGTGTTCACACGTGAACCGCGGTGCCAAGCAAAACAGGGGTCTGGTCTCGGAGTGGATTCAGATGCGTTTATACGGTTGTCGGGGAAGGAGAGGCCAGGGGCCGTCCGCACCTGTGCAAACAGAAGGTCTGTGGCGGGCGGTGGGCCAGGGCACCGGGGAGCTGGCCCGTGGGCCGCCGCCAGCAGGTGGGAATGCCGCCCTGATTTCCGTCTGGCTGGGCGCCCCGGGGTCTGCCGGTTGTGGGGAGGAATCCCGCCACCTCCAGGAAGGGACCAGGGATTCGGGGGATGGGCTGAGCCAGCTCAGGCAGCAGCACAAAGGGAAGCCGTCTCCCCTGCTGTCCTTCCTCGAGGGCCATGTGACCCTTGGCCAGCCTTCTCCAAGGGTTCACCGTTGAGATGACATGTTCTGGCAGTAAAAAACAAAAAACATGTCACAGGCAGGGAGAGGTAGAAGCCGCTTCCTCGGATCCGCAGGGATGCTGTGGACACCAACTCAACGGGTTTTCGAAATGCAGATAAATGCTCTGAAGTCGCTCATTCAGTCTGACTGCCCTCTGAGCCCAGAGTCCAGACGGGACACCCACAGGCACTGACAGGGTGTGGGCCACACGCCCTGCGGGGACCAAGATAATCCCGCCACCTTGGATGCCTGGTGACAGTTCCCAGAGCCCGGCCCAGCCCCACCCCTCTTCCTGTGCCCCCCGCATCAAATCCCGCCCCAGCTCTGGTCTCGGGGTCCCCACCTGTAATCAGAGCTGCAACAACCACTGGTTTACGCAGCGGTCACTCTTCAGACCGGGTCTGAGCTCTCTGCACCCAGGTGTGCATCTGCGCACCACAGTCTTATCCTTTCCTGCTGGAGGAAACTGAGGCCCAGAGAGGTCAAGAGGCCTGAGGTCACATGTGAGGGAGGGAGTCTCTGTTCCTGTCTGCCGGCCTCTCAGTAACCTTGAGTCACCCTGGTAAATAGAAAGAACATGACCCCTGAAGGGCTCTGCAAGCACTGCCATTAGGGGTTTGGTCAGCCTCAGAGTCTGTGACCCGGTTCCGAGGACCCAAAACAACCCACGTGGACACAACAGAGAGAGTGCTAATGTCAGGTTGGGGGCCGAAGATGCGCAGGAGGTCAGTCAGACAGGACTCCTTTGGCTGCAAGCAGAAATGACCATCTAACTGGATGAGACTAAAGATAAAAGGAGTGCAGCAACTAAAGTAGCTGGGAAGTCCAAGGCTAGGTCTGGCTTCAGGTATGGCTGGATCCAGCAGTCACACTGTGACATGGGGAAGCTCTCATTTTCCATTTCTCTGCCCTGCTTCCTCTGAACTAACTTCACTCCCAGGCAGGCTTTTCCCCTGTGGCAGCAGAGTCACCGTGACTTGCAGCCATCTGGCTCAGGAAGCCAAACAGTGGTTTGAACAGCAGCCGGAGGCTGGCTGACGCTGGCCTGTCTCGGCTCGTGCGTCCCGCTTCCCTGCTCACAAGGTTGTGCAAGTGCATGAGGGGACTTGAGCTCACACAGCCTGCCCCCTCTCCCCCCGTTCACCAAATGCCCTTGCTGGGGGCGGGTTTGAGAGGTGAGGGTGGCATGGCTGGCAAGACAGGGTCATGTATCACGTAACATAACCGTGCAGTCACATCCACCACCTTTGCCATATTCTGTTGGTTTGGCCCAACCTCAGGGACAGATCACACAAAGGCATAAACACCAGAGGGCGGGGACTGCGGGTCCCGTGGAGTCTCACAGGCTCCCTCTCGAGCAGAGAACCGAAGGGACGGAGGGAAGGAATGTGCTACGCTGGCACCTGGAGGAGGAACATGCTGGCCGGGAGAGCAAAGGCCCTGAGGCCAGACTGTGCCTGGCCTGTCAGGCAGGGACCGCACCGGGGCCAGGGACGGCCTGGGGTTGGGGTACCTCTTAAAGATGGCGTGCTTTGTTCGGACTGGGGGGTGGGGGGCAAGGAGGGCATTCCTGGCAGAAGAAACAGCTGCGTAGGGATCAGGTGTGGCCTGAGACTCCTTGCGGCCCCCTGGTGCGTCTGGGGCGCAGAGGGGAGGGTGGGTGGAGGGGCACGGTTCAGGTAAACTGGGCCACAGGGGGCACTGAGGGCTGAGATACAGCGAGTGGTGCGATCCCAGCCTCCCACGTCCAGGGCCCATGTCCCCGACGACCTCTGTCCCTCCAGCCGCCCCCTCTCCCGGGGGAGGGAGGCAGAGCGCCCCTCCCTGCTCAGGCGGCCGAGTCTGGTCTCTCTGCCCCCCTCCCGCAGGAATCCCCACATCGTCCTCAACATCGACCTGGCTCCCACCATCCTGGACATCGCCGGTCTGGACATCCCCTCGGATATGGACGGGAAATCCATCCTGAAGCTGCTGGACACGGAGCGGCCGGCGAATCGGTGAGGAGGGGGTGGGGTGCTGGGCTCCCCGCAGCACTGCGTGAACTTGGGGCCAGACCGTGTGGGTCTGAGGGGGTGTGACTCCGAGAGTGAGGAGCCGGGGTTCCGGGGTCCCTCGTTCCGACCACTCCTCCACCGTGGGAGAGAAGGGTGGCCCCTGTGAGGTTCCCGCTTCCCATCTGGGACGTGGCCAGAGCAGCCAGTTGCAGACCCTACTTTGTGTGAAACATGAAACAACAACAACAACAGGGATGAACACTCAGGAAGCAGTTCCCGTTTGCCAGGCCCTGTCTCAGCGCTTGGCAGAGAGATTTATTGTTTTGATCGTCATGGGAGCCCGGAGGGGCAAGCATCGTCCTGCTCCCCCTTCACCAGTCTGGAAACTGAGTCCCGGAGAGGTCGAGTGACTGACCTGTCGGAGGTCTCCGGGCAAGTCTGGCTCCGAGTCCCGCGTGCAGACTCCAGACTGGAGGCTGGGTCCCCATCACCACACTCTGTGCTTTCCGCGCCAGACGGCGTGGTGGGAACATACTCCCAGTGTCCTGGAGGCCGAGAGGGGAACTGGGATGGTGAGCAAAGCACAGGCAGGTGGGAAGGTGAACTGAGCCTGGCCAGGGCAGGAAAGCAGGGAGACCGAGCCACTGGTGTGGCAGGAGCGACATCTGGTGGCCAACACTGTAACTGCCTGCTGGAGCCACAGCCCCAGAGAGCTGACTCTTGCAACCCAGACTCGTACCTCCCGCAGCTCAGAAAAGGTCTTGCCCTGATGGGCACTGTCCATCCACATCTGACTGCCCTGTGGGGGGACCACCTTCGCTGGGCCTCCTCCCTCTGGCTGTGAGGCTTTATAAGCTGTAAGGGTGTGAACTGGGGAGGTTTGGGGAGCGGGGACTCTGGGTTGGGAGCCAGAATCCCTGGGGGCCGGGCGCAGGGTGGAAGCTGCCCGTCAGCCTGAGTCCCTGTCTGGGAGAGGGACGCGGCGTGAAAAGTGCACTCACATCGCACAAACCCAACCGTGAAGGGTCGAAGGAAATCCTGCCCCGCCCAGAAAATACAGTGTAGTTCACCAAAGTGAGGGCGGCCACTCTTTCTGGTGCTGGCCGGAGAGGGGTCCACCTGCCCCAACACTGGGGGGTTGTTGGGCTTCCTGGGGGGCACAGGCGTGTGCACACATGACTGCGTGTGGCCTTGACCTAGTCACCTCTGCCCACATGTCTCCAGACACGAGTCTCTGGGAAGGTGAGGACCACCAGGGGCAGAGGGTGTGGGTGGCCCATGGGCAGCTCACCCCGTCCTCCCCTGGGGCCCTGGGGTCTGTGCTGGTTGTGAACCGAGCAAGGCCGCTCTGGGCATCGACCTGCTTCCGGGAGAAGGGGCTGGGGTCATGGGAGGTGCCCACACTGATGGGAACACGGAGGTGCCTTTCTCCCCTAGGTTTCACTTGAAAAAGAAGATGAGGGTCTGGCGAGACTCCTTCCTGGTAGAGAGAGGGTGAGTGCTGGGCCCCGAGGAGACGCCCAGGGCATTTCAGCTGAGCGGCACCCAAGGACCCCCACCATCCCAAGCAGCTCCTGGCAGCACCCCCTGCACCCATGGTATTAAACATCTCACTGTGGAGCCCCTGGCCAGGTGACTCAGTCAGCCGGAGTGTCATCCCGTAGCTAAAAGGTTGCAGGTTCGATTCCTGGTCAGGGCACATACCCAGGTTGTGGGTTCGATCCCCAGTCCGGGCTCATACTGGCGGCAACCAATCGATGTTTCTCTCTCCCCTCCTCTCTCTCTAAAAACAATGAAAACATGTCCTCGGGTGAGGGTAAAAAGAAAAAAATGAAAAATAAAGATCTCACTGTCGGGGAAGGAGGGAGAATGTTATTGTCCTACCTTCCGACAGCGACTGGGAGCTCGTGGGAACTAGACACAGAAGCCGTTCGCTGTTCCTGCGGTTGACACAGAATTCGCATCTGGAGGCCACATGTTGGCAGCCGCCTGCACACCATTTTCTGTTCTGTGGCCAACTCATGCCATCTGGGAGGTTTCTTCTGAGATCCCCGCTTCTTAAGTCTCTGAACGAACCGCAGACACGGCCAGGCTGGACCTGCGCGCTCCCCCAGAGCCGACAGGCCAGCCCCGTGTCCCGCTCTCCGCCCCACAGCAAGCTGCTGCACAAGAGGGACAGCGACAAGGTGGACGCCCAGGAGAACTCCCTGCCCAAGTACCAGCGCGTGAAGGACCTGTGCCAGCGGGCCGAGTACCAGACGGCGTGCGAGCAGCTGGGGCAGGTGAGGAGGCGCAGCTGCGGCCCCGGGGCCGGGCGCGGGGCCCTGCAGACAGGGGCCCAGTTTGCCCCTCAGCCCACTGCACTGGGCCAGCGGGGCCAGCGAGGCCGGAGCCCCCAGGGGTGGTGTTTTGCCGACCTGTGTGGCACCCAGGGTGAGGCGAGGGGATACTGGTGACGCTCAGAAAGCAGTGTCTTTCTCAGCCCCCTGTCGGTCTGGTCACATCCGAGGGAAAGTCTCCCGTGGGGACGGGCGTGTCTTTAGCTCCGACCCCTCTTCGATGGGGACCCGGCTGGCCTCTCCACGGCCCTGGTGAAGTTCAGTGACTGCCTCGGTCGGAGTCCCTTCTGCAGGCGCCTCTTCCAGGCCGAGTTTCCATGTATAGGTGTCACAGGACATTGCCTTTTGAAATAAATTCAGGTTTTCAAAAGTGAATTGGTTTCAGAAGAAATATTAAGGAAATTGTAACTTTGATAGCACTTTAGAGAGAGCAAAGACTGACTGAAATTTGAGGGAGTCTGAACGAGGCTCTTCTGAGACCTGGGAGGCCGAGACAGGGCTCTGGAGGGGGCTGGGGGCGTGGCCTTGTAAAGAGGGACCCCAGCAGGAGGCCGGAGAGCTGCGGGTTGTGCTGCGTCCTTGCAGCAGCCTACGCTGCACGCCTCTGTTGCCGGGCACTGTTCCAGGCACTGTTCCAGGCACTGGGGCGACAGCCTTGAATGCCATGCACACACAGCACTGACGCTCTGGGGGGAGCTCGGCCTCAGGTTTGTGCCGAAAGCCCACAACTGGTTCTGATTTCTGTTCTGAGGTACCAGGAAGAGCTGACCAGGCCAGGGGGCCTCTGTCCCCCTAGGATCATTGTCAAACGCTGTCCCCCAGGTTCAGGGTCAGGCCGTCTGGGGCAGGTATCTGCGTACTTGGAGCAGTCTACCAGAGCACGCTGCTTAGCCCAAGTGGAAAGAGCGCTGGAGGGGTGGGGTTTGGGGCCCAGGCCAGCTGGGGAGGCACCAGTCCCGGTCCAGGGCCCTGGGACCTGCAGCCCTAGGGTCTCCAGGACGCCCCCCCCCCCGTCCCAGCTGTGCACCCAGCAGGGGAGGGCTGCGGTCCCCACCCTGCTGGCCGAGCCACCCCCAGGCCCTGCTGGCTGTCTCACTCCCGCTGTGCCTGTGAGTGTTCCCTGCGTCGCAGTGCCTCCCGTGCCTGGGGCTCTCACTCAGCCAGAGTCACACAGTGTCCCCCTTGGTGTCTCTTATCCCGTCAACATGTCTATGAGCTTGAGTCCCAGGAACGAAACTCTCGCTAGCCCATGTCCCCGCGAGGGCAGGAGAGAGGAATCTGGGGGTGGACGGGGCGGCAGCAGGGTATGTGGACGGGCCGGCTGGCCGCGCCTCGCAGCCTGAGGCCCCTGCCGTGCCTTGCAGAAGTGGCAGTGTGTGGAGGACGCCACGGGGACGCTGAAGCTGCACAAGTGCAAGGGCCCGGCGCGGCCCAGCAGCAGAGCCCTGTCCAACCTGGTGCCCAAGTACTACGGGCAGGGCGGCGAGGCCTGCGCCTGTGACGGCGGCGGCGGGGACGACCAGCTCAGCCTGGCCGGGCGCCGGAAGAAGCTCTTCAAGAAGAGTGAGTGTGGCGACCTGGGCGGTTCCAGCCGGGGGTGGGGGGGCAGCGTGGTGGTCCCTGGGTCACCCCATTTGTTCACTTAAGTAACTCCAGACACAAGACCGGGGAGCTGGGGACACCGTGAAGCCCTTGATGATCCTCCCGGTCCAATGGGGAAGGGCAGGATGCAGAGGGGAGGCAGTGTGAGCGCTGGGGGCTGTGAGGGTTGCGGTGGGGGGGGCATGTTGCAGGGGGAGGGGTCAGGGCCCCATCCCATGGCATCAGAGGGCCCTTCCTCTGGGACACGCAGCCACCAGGGGGTTTGAGCAGAGGAACTGAGCTCAGACGAGTGTTGTCAGGCGGCCACCCCTGCCGCCGGAGCTGCGTGTCCGTGGGCTGGACGGGGGCCCGCAGGGGGCTGGCCGCGAGCCCCGCGAGGAGCCTCGGCGACTGGGACCGGACACCCGCGTCGCAGGGAGCGGGCTCGGGCTCTGGAAGTGACTGGAAGGGAGGCCCGCGGCGGGGGCTGACGGGGCCGACCCCCTTACTCGTGGAGTCCGTGCTTGCAAGTTCACGGGCTTCCCTGCAATGTCTCTGTAGTCCCCAGGTCACCGCTGGAGATGCTTTCTGGGTCGTTCTCGGGCATGTGCAATGGCCAGAAACTCTGAGCCGCCCGTGTGCTGGGTCCCCAGCCGAGGCTGGGCAAGGAGATGCTTGGTCTCCCTCGTCCCAGCTTCACGCTCTGCCCAGGTGTCCTCTTCACATCTGTGCAGCGACGTGCTTTTCACATCTCTGTGCCTTTCCCAGTGGTTTCGCCATCTGAGACGACCCTCCCCACCCCACCCGGCACCCTGCAGAACTACCATGTCCCGTTCCTGCCTGCAGGGAGGCTGGGCGTGCCTCATGGAGAAGAGGCACGTGGGCTAGAGAAGCTTGGGCTGACCTGAGGTGCGGCTCTGTCAGCCGGGAGTTCGATGTTAAGGAATCAGCCACGTGTATCAAATAAGCTGCCCTTAAACAGAAACCCCCGTAAACAAGGTCGTGGGGCCAGAGGCTCCCGGGAACCTGACCCCAGGTCTCCCCCAGGAGCAGTGGTCCGTACGCTGATTCGGTGTTCTCAGGCACACAAGAGGACACAGTGCAGGTAACAGCAGCAGACGGCGTTTTGGGGGGAGAAAGGCACCCAGCCCCGCTGAAGAGGCTGCCTGAGCCTCGTACCCCACCCCCGAGGGGGCTGAAGGAAGGCAGCCCGTCAGAAAGCCAGCGGGCAGAGCGCAGAGGGACGTCCTCTGGATGTGGCTGGAAGACTCAGCTGTCACCCCAGGCTAGTCACAGCCCCACTGCGAGCTCAGCGTCCCCGGGGAAGAGGGATCCCTGGGGAGCTAGGACCTGTCTCGGGGGTGACCTGGTCAGCCGGCCGGAAGTGTCCCCTCCAAAGCCGGGCAGTTTCCCACGCTGCCCCCACTCAAAGACTGCCAAAGCCCCATTAGAGATTTTAGTTCTTTTTTTTTTAACAGTGGGAACATATACGTAACATAATATTTAGCATCTTAACCATTTTTAAGTGTCGAGTTCAGTGGCCTTAGGTGCATCCTCCCTGTTGTGTGATGGTCCCCACCGGCCATCCCCAGAGCTCTTTTGCTCATGTTGCAGAACTGACACTCCGTCCCCAGTAAACATGAACCCCCCACCACCCTGCCCCAGCCCCTGGCAGCCACCGCCCTGCCTTCTGTCCTGCCTTCTGTCCGTGGAGGTCACGCCTCTGGGCGTGCTGCCCGGTGGAGCTCTGAGCGGGTGAGTCTGCCCCTAGTGGCCAGGCGCCGCCTCAGCAGCACCTCCCCACGGATGGGCCCCCGTTGTGTTTCTTCACGGGCCACGTGGGAACTCCTGAGCTAATCTTTTTTTAGCAAGTACAATGACTGGTTTCTAGATTGAATCGCACAGCTGAACACCCCCTTGCTCCAACACGCGGCACAGAGGATGATCTTTAAATAACACGAGGACGTGCGACTCAATTAAGCCTTGTCTTTCCCTGTTAGCGCACGGAGGAAAGAAAAGGGCACCCGAGTAGCCGGGACTCAGCTGCACCCAAGCCCTCGTCTGGGGACGAGGGGGTAACACCAAGGCCACGTGCACCGCACAGCCACCCAGGAGCAAAGCAGGCGGCCACTCTCAGGGCAGACAGGAAAGGCTGGGTCACACGGCCAGTGTGGGGGTGTGGGCCCCGTCTGCTGGCCCAGCACCGTTCCCCCTGCCAGTGAGTGCTGCCAGCGAGACGCCTTCTGTCCTTCCTCTCTGAGCAGCCGGCCTGGAGCTGGGGTTCCGGACTGGGGCTGATCTCGGCCCCCAGGGGGGGCACTCGGCAGTGTGGGGACATTTCCGGCTGGCGTGACCGTGTGGGGGTAGGCGTGTGCCTCGCACCTAGTGAGCGGAAGCTGTGGGTGCTCTGGATACCCTGCAAGGCACGGGTCCGTCCCCCACAACGAAGGTTTACCCAGCCCCCATCGCTGGTTTTGAGGTTGAGAAGCCCCGGCCTGGAGCAGCCCCGACCCAGGCAGGCCGGGCAGAGCCAGCCGGACTGGGAAGAGGTGATCAGGGTTCTGGGGATGGGCCCGGGGGGCTGGTGTTTATTCACTGCTTCTCCTAACAATCTGCGAGCCCCGCCGGATGCTGAGGTGACAGGGTCGAAGGAGACACTGAGCGGACCTCGTGGGCAAGACGAGGTGCAAGCCAGTGAACCGGACGGGAAGGTCCCACTTCCCCTCGGTGGAAAATGCCTGGAGGAAATGAGCCGGGGGCGTGACCAGGTGGAGAGGGCGGCCGGTCGTCATTTGCACCAGAGCCGAGTGTGGAGGCGGAACGGGCGGGTCGGGGGAGGAGGAAGCACAACGGCGCCGTGGCCCCCGGCCCCCGAGAGCAGGCCAGGCCGCACAGGGCTTCACGGCCCAGGTGGTGGGTAGGCCCAGGGTGTGGCCTTGGGCAAGGGGCCACAGGGACCCTAGTGGTCACAGACCAGCTGCTCCGTGCCACACCAGGTGATGGAAATGTATCAGTTCTGCTGCGTGTCCCCCTCCAGACAGCCTGGTAAGGCAGGCAGCGTCCTGAGACCATGGCTCATGGTCTGTGGTGGCTGCACCTTGGCTCAGGAGTTGCATCCGGGCCATTGGAGTCCAGCGCCTGAGCTCTTGGCCACTGGGTTAAGCAGCCCCCTTGCCAGGACGTGCGGGAGGGGGGACACTTCAGGGGCCCTGGAAACGGGGACAGCTAGGGTGACTCAGAGAGCGAGTGGTATGGCTCCAGCCCGGGGAGGGGTTTTTACACAGGCGCTCGGCCAGCCTCGTCTGTAGAGGGTCCGAGAGTCAGTATTTGAGGCCTTGCAGGGTACACGGTCTGTGTCTCAACTACTCAATTCTATCTCTGTGGCAAGAAAACAGCCCCAGACGTGGGGGAGACTGGCTTCTTGACAGCATCAGGCAGAAGGCCAGATAGTTTGGGGCACCCTGGGTTTGTGGCTGGGGGTGGAGGGTGGGAAGAGACCAGGCAACTGGCTCCTGAGCAAGAAAGACAAAGGAGCAGAGAGAGCCTGGGCGGGGGGGGTCTAGTTCACAGCCTCTTGGGCAGGTGACCTGCTCCCACAGCTCCCACAGGAAATGCAACGGGGACTCAGCACTGTGTGGTGTGTGCACCAGGGGCCCAGCCCTGTGGCTTCAGGGAGACTGAACTCAGGGAGGAAGAAGCCAAGGAGAAAGCGGCCCAGGGTCAAGAAGGCCTGCGGCTTTGCCGAAGAGGCGATGCCTCTCCTGGACCTGGGCCCTGGATCCTGTGATCCGACGAGTCTGAGAAATGAGAGAGGCCAACAGCTGTCCCAACAGACCGGGCCACACGGCCAGGCCCTGGGGCCCTGGGCCACACGGGAGCAGGGGTCCCTTCCTCCCTGGGCGCCACACCCCTGGCCTCCAGTCAGTCCTGGAGCCGCGGGCACCTCCTGGTGGTCATAGAGAGCCAAACAAGCACGGGCGGGGGCCGGCTCCAGGCCCTTCTCTTTAAAAGGTGGACTTTTAGGGCGGCTGGCGGTGAAGGACTCAGAGCGTGCAGGGGCCAGACCTGAGTGAAGCCTGCAGAGTTTTAAAGCACAAAGGATTGGGGGGGGCGGTGCGTCAGCTCCTGGCAGGGACACCTGTGCGGGCCTGCGGACCCAGGTGGGCTGGCACGCCCGCTCCTCTTCAGAGCCTGGAAATTCGCTCACCTACATGACTGCCCGCCCCCTTTTTCCTTAATGTTAGCAATCCGATCTAATGTGTCCTTTATTAGAAGATGCAGGAAGCCTGAGCTCTGACTTCAGCTGGCATGCCCCGTTTTCAGCAGCTGAGGTCGTCCAGAAACAGGGCCCGCCTGGGCCTGGTGGAGAGCCGCCCCCAGCTCCCAGCTCCCAGCTCCCAGCTGGGGCAGCCGGGACTCAGAGGGCTGAGCGACCTCCCCCAGCTGCTCCCTCTTCTGTCCAGGAGGAGGAGCCGCCTGGCTTTTTATTTCCCCCAACTAAAATCGATAGGCGTTGTTTTTTTGCGTCTTATTGTGGTATAATTGACAGATATTAGATTAGTTTCAGGTGTACACCATGATGATTCAGTATTTGTGTAGACTGCAAAATGATCACCACGATGAGTCCAGTTAGCTTCTGTCACCACGCACAAATACGTAATACCCGGCGTTACTAACTGCGGCCACCACACTGCACGTCCGAGACCTTGTAACTGGGAGTCCGTACACCTCCTGACCCCCTTCACCCCTTGTCCCCATTTCCCCTTCCTTCCCCATCCCCCGCCTCTGGCAACCTTCCACTCTGTTCTCTGTGTCTATGACCTCGGGTTTTTTGGTTTTGTGAGGGGGGTGTGTGTGTGTGTGTTTTTAATTCCACATATAAGCGAGATCACACGGTATGTCTTTCTCTGTCTGACCGACTTCACTTAGTATATAATGCCTCCAGGTCCGTCATGCTGTAAATGGCAGGATTTCCCCCCTGTGGCTGAGTTGTGAATATCCCACCGTGTGAATGAATATACGTAGGACCGCATCTTCCTCCCCTGCTCAGCCATCCGTGGACACCTGGGCTGCCTCTGGGTGTTGGCTGTTGTAAATGCTGCTGCAGGGAATGTGGGGGCGCGGAGACCTTTTTGAGTTCGTGTTTTCCTTCGGATAAACATTGCGACGTGGGACTGCTGGGTCTTGTGGCTGTTCTAGTGTCCACTTTGGGGGGAACCCCCGCACTGTTTCCCGTGGCGGCTGCACCGATGCCCTTCCCACCAGCCGTGCACGGGCGCTCCCTTCCCTCCGCAGGCTCGCCGACCCTTGTTGGATGAGAACCACTGTAACGAGCGTGAGCTGTGGTTTGGGTTCGCGTTTCCCTGACAGTCGGCGACGCTGAGCACGCGCTCCGGCACCTGTCGTCCGTCTGTGTGTCTTCTTCGGGAAAATGTCTGTTCAGGCCCTCTGCCTGTTTTCTAAGTCAGATCGCGTTTTTGCTCTTAGATAAATCTTTATGCATTTTTTCTATCGGAACCCCTTATCAGACAGTTCTAATCCTAAATGGAGACTGGATCCAGTCCAGTGGTTTTTTCTGCAGCTTTTGAGATCCTGTGATCTTTATTGCTCCTTTTGTTCACGGGGCGTATGCATCGCCCGGGTTTGCTGAGAGTCACCACCCTCGCACCCCTGGGCTAAACCCCCGTCACCCTGGTGTGCGGTTCTCTCAGTGTGTCGCTGAGTTCGGTTTGCTAATATTTTGCTGAGGATCCTTGAATTGTGTTCCTCGGGGATACTGGCCTGCAACTAGACAGTTCCATTCCCTCCCTTCCCCCTCCCTTCCCCCCCTTCCCCTCCCTTTCCCTCCCTTCCCCCCCCCCTTCCCCCCCTCCCTTCCCCCCTCCCTTCCCCCCCTCCCTTCCCCCCCTCCCTTCCCCCCCCCCTTCCCCCCCTCCCTTCCCCCCCTTCCCCCCCTCCCTTCCCCCCCCTTCCCCCCTCCCTTGCCCCCCCCTTCCCCTTCCCCCCCCCTTCCCCTTTCAGCCCCAGAGTAATGCCGGCCTCGTAAAACAAGCCTGGAAGCGCTCCTTCCTCTTCTTTTTGGACGTTTGGTTCTCCTTCTGGGTGTTTGGTAGAATTCACCAGTAAAACCGTCTGGTCCTGGACTTCCATTTTGTCAATCTCCTGATTACTGAGTCAATCTCCTGATTACTGAGTCAATCTCCTTAGTGTTCTTATACTCACTTTACTTTTTTCTTTTTTAATATTTGGATTTCTTTTTAGATGTTATTTATTTATTTTTAGAGAGGGAAGGGAGGGAGAAAGAGAGAGAGAGAGAAACATCAATGTGTGGTTGCTGGGGGCTGTGGCCTGCAACCCAGGCATGTACCCTGACTGGGAATCGAACCTGCAATGCTTTGGTTTGCAGCCCGCGCTCAATCCACTGAGCTACGCCAGCCAGGGCTCCTTTTTCCTTTCTTTAAACTGAAGTCGAGTTCACAGGAAATAAAATCTACCATTTTTACAACTTTAAAGTATACAATTCAGCAGCAGCACTTAATATACTCATGGTGCAGCGCAACCACCACCTCTAGGTCTGAAAACCTTTCCATGGCCCCCGAAGGGACCCCCGTCACCCCCTCCCACGTCCTGTGGCAGCCACTGCTTTGCGTTGGGTTTCAGCGTCGTTGCCTGTTTTGGGTATTCCATCCAGACGCCCACAACAGACCTTGTGTGTCTGGGCTCTTCTACGCGGCACCGAGCTCTCGGCACCCGTCTGCGCTGCAGCGTGCGTTACTGTCCCATCCCTTCACGGCCAAATGTGCCGCTGTGTGGGCGGGCCAGTTGGTTTACCCAGTCATAGCTCTTCCTTGAGATGATCTAAGCTGATTCCTTCCCAGCCCTGGGACTTCAGCTCCTCACCAAGCCTCCCTCAGTGGGTGCAGCTGGGACTCCAGTGAAATCACCTTGAGGCCCTTCCCGCCGGGAGCAGGCCCTGCTTCCCAGGTGGCAGGTTACACGAGCCCGTGCGTCTCACCCAACACGGAGCCTCCTGATGGGAGCGCTGCCCCGCCCAGATCGAGGGTCTGCCGCCCAGGGAGCCCCGCCAGCCTCCCACGCCCTCCTGACTGAGCCACCCCTCGGACGCCCACAGAGTACAAGGCCAGCTACGTCCGCAACCGCTCCATCCGCTCTGTGGCCATCGAGGTGGACGGCGAAGTGCACCACATAACCCTGGACGAGGCACCCCAGCCCCGCAACCTGACCAAGCGGTACTGGCCGGGGGCCCCTCGGGACCAGGACGACAAGGACGGTGGGGACTTCAGTGGCACTGGAGGCCTTCCGGACCCGTCAGCTCCCAACCCCATTAAAGTCACACACCGGTGAGAGCCCCGGCGGAGGTTGGGGGGAAAGGACGGGCTAGGCCTTGGCCGGGGCTCCCACATCTCTCAGGGCCCCACACAGTCCCTTCTTCCGAGCAGGTGCTACATCCTGGAGAACGACACGGTCCAGTGTGACCTGGACCTGTACAAGTCCCTGCAGGCCTGGAAGGACCACAAGCTGCACATCGACCACGAGGTGACAGGGTCTGGGCAGGGAGCAGGGTCTCACCACCGTGTACTTGGCGGGGCCGCCAGCCCCACTGGCAGTGAAGTGAGGCCTGACCCAGGGGAGCGAGGCCCCCCAGAGCCTGGACCCAGGGCCAGGAGCACCGGTCCAGCAGGCCAGTTCGGTCACATCACACCCCAATTCGTCCTTCCAACAAGCCTGGCTGGGGGAGGCGGGGCGGGGGTATTTAAGTCCTCAGTGGGTGCAGCTGGGTCCCAGGCAGGACAGGACACAAGGAACATGACTCGCAGGTTGTCCTTGGCTGGAGCCTCATTGCTTCAGGTGGAGCCCGGGAACGCCCTCAGTGCCCACAGGTGTGGGCCGTGGAGGGGCTCCGCCAGCCCACCCCTCCTTCCCCAGCCCGGGAGTTCCACGGCCTCCTTGCCTTTCCCTCCCACCCAGATCGAAACCCTGCAGAATAAAATCAAGAACCTGAGGGAAGTCCGAGGTCACCTGAAGAAAAAGCGACCGGAAGAATGTGACTGTCACAAAGTCAGGTGAGGAGGAAGCAAAGGGAGCCCAGGAAGGCCCCCAGCAGTCCTGCAGGGCCACTCCCAGGGACACGGCATCCCCTCTGTGACGACTTTGTTACTTTTATATGTCTGCTCCCTCGGGGTTAAAAAACATCAGTCATTCCCATCCCCACTGTCGGCCACCGGGCACAGGTCACTGCCCCCCAGGTGGCCAGCCAGACGCTGGGGTTCATGCCCCGCTGACAGGTGGGGGGCTGGCTCCCAGGAGGGAGAAGCCTCTGCCGCCTGCCCTTGGGGACCCCAACAGCCCACGAGGCCCTGGCCCTGGGGGCGAGCCTGAGGGCAGCACTGTCCAGTGGAACTTCTGTGAGGATGGGGAGGGCCGTATCTGCTGTCCAGTAGGGTGGCCACGTGTGGCTATTAAACACTTAAAATGTGGCAGTGAGACTGAGGAACTAACTCTAGAGTTTCATTTACAATGAACGTTCCATGTGGCGGCTGTACCAAAGCCCAGCCAGAGCATCTCTGCTGCCTTCCCGGAAGGGGCTTGCCAACACGGTCCCCTCGGGGCTGCCCTTGACCAAGCATGAGGTGGGCGGGGGCCTGGGGACAGCCACCCGGTGATGCTGAGGCCGAAGCCACACAAAGCCAGGCCCAGCTCCTACCCTTGGCTAACTTCCGCCCACCCCATCCTTCTCTGTCTGGCCCGAGTGAGCCTTCAGCTAGGGGCTCCCAGCTCACGCCCGCAGGAAGGAAGGAGGCTGGCAGGCAGCTGCCGCCCTGGGGTAACACTCTTCCCGGAACTGCATCAGAAAGAGGAATGGGGTCCCAGGGCACCACAGTCTGCACCCACCCAGGAGTCACCCTATAAAAGCAGTTTCCGAAACCTGGGGTTTGGGGTCTGTTACAGTTACTACACCCAGCACAAAGGCCGACTCAAGCACAAAGGCTCCAGTCTGCATCCTTTCAGGTAAGGCAGCTTAAGGTCCAGGGGAGAGATGTAGAGGCATCTCCTCCTTAACCTAACACAACCAAGGAAAAGCAGTCCTAGCAGAGGTCTGACTCCCTGATCCACACTGAGGTCTCCAGGCGCCCCCGTGTGACTGCAGGGGGTTACTGCAACCTCAACATGCAGGGCAGAACACAGGCCCAAGAAACTGGGGTGTGAGCAGGAGTCCCGGCAGCCTCTAATTCTCCACCTTTGTGCTGCCTCAGACCTGCAGCGGGACTTTTGTGGCAACGGTTCTTCCCTTTGGGACCCCTGTAGTGCTGTGCCCACAGCCCTCTGGCAGGAAGAGCAGAGGCTCAGGGTCATTGATCACTAGGAGACTCCAAGGTGAGGAGCCCAGAGAGGTGTGGCCCTGTGTCCCCATAGGAAGGGGCTGCAGGAGAAGGACAAGGTGTGGCTGCTGCGGGAGCAGAAGCGCAAGAAGAAACTTCGCAAGCTGCTGAAACGGCTGCAGAACAACGACACGTGCAGCATGCCGGGCCTCACGTGCTTTACCCACGACAACCAGCACTGGCAGACTGCACCCCTCTGGACACGTGAGCCAGCCCGGGGCAGGCATGGGGCAGGCTGGGCAAGAGGGGTTTCTCCAGGGCCCCCCTTGCCCCCAGCCTGTGAGTGCTTCCTTGCCAGTCTCTGCAGGTCTTGCGGGAACAGGCTCCCTGACAACAGCAGGGGTCAACAAGTGCTCCCCACAGGAACTGGCTCCGGGGACCGTCCCGGACAGGAGTTCCGGCAGGCACACTCAGGGCGTGCTCTCTGTTCCCTTGGCAGTGGGGCCCTTCTGTGCCTGCACCAGCGCCAACAACAACACGTACTGGTGCATGAGGACAATCAACGAGACCCACAACTTCCTCTTCTGTGAATTTGCCACCGGCTTCCTCGAGTACTTCGATCTCAACACAGACCCCTACCAGGTACAGACAACCTGCCCTGGAGAAGGGGGGCGTGGGGTACACAGGTGCTGCCAGTTAGGGCCCCCCACCCAAGGAATCAATGCATTTACCAAGTCCCTAAGCCAGAAGTGAGTTGGGGAGCCTCCGAGAACTTGGGGACTCCTCGTGCAGTCGCCTCTCGTTGCCTCTTCCCTGGCAAGGTTAAACCACAGCAGGCTGTGTGGGGACTTGTGAAGACCCCTAGACCGCAGAGGTCCTTGGGGCCAGGCCAGACCAAGCCCTGTGCCCTCGGGGGCCTACAGGGAGAACAGCCGACACTCACGCAGCACTCACTGCGTGCCAGGTGCCTTCCTAAGTGCTTAAATGGCTAAGGCACCTGAGCACACACGTGATGGCTAGGGGCCCAGAACGCAGAAGACACACAGGAGCCACGGAGCCTGTGGTGAGTGGAGCGTGTCCCGTCTACAACAGGCGGCCACCACTGCGCCTCAGCCCCACAGCTTCGCAGTGGCGTGGCCCTCGCACTGGCCCAGTCTCCAGTGTTGTAAGAAAAGGCTGACGAGCTTTACGTGAAATCTATTTCTAAATGCTATTTCTTTGGTCTGTTCTGCCAATCTTTCTCCTTAGGTGGGTCATCCCCGTATTTTACAAAAGGGCGTGGCAGGGCACGCAGGTTACTCAGGCACTGGTACCTCCCAGGCTAGGCAGGGGCCCAGGTCACTGTCTCCATCCCATCACCCAGTGACGGTGGCTTCCCAGTGACGAGGAACGGAGGGACTGGGACTGGAGGCTGCTTAAAACCGCAGGGCTGAGAAGGGCTTCTTTCCAAGCTTGGTCAGTCTCCTGACCAGTGGCTCCCGCAGTTCAATGTTAAGTACAGAAGTGGGTTTTTTTCCTTACTCTCACGGAGAGCGAGCCTGGTGGCATGAGAGACAAAAAGCGGTTGAAACTGTTCCAAACTCTCAGCTCTGGCAGAAGCAGAAGTTACCAGCCCCGTAGCGCCTGCTACTCCCAACCTGCCTGAAGGCGGTCCCCTGGTTGGCAGCAGAGGACGGTGCTCCCTCCACTCACCTTGTTGATAACCCACCTTTTCCCCAACCAGCTGATGAACGCAGTGAATACACTGGACAGGGACGTCCTCAACCAGCTACACGTGCAGCTCATGGAGCTGAGGAGTTGCAAGGGTTACAAGCAGTGTAACCCCCGGACACGGAACATGGACCTGGGTGAGTGGGCGCCCCAACACGGGGCCTGTAACCCAGCAGGGTTACCACAGTTAGGAATTCTGGAGGTCATGTGCAGTCGGAAAAGGGAACCCAGAATCAGTGGAGGTCGATGAAGTCTCCCTAATGGCTAAAATACCACCTTCCTAACACCCACCAAGGGCTGCTTTTAGGACCCTAAGTGCCACCACTTACTAATCACTCCGTGCCAGCTGCTGTGCTGAGAGCTTCGGACGTCTCAGTGACAACCCAGTGGCGGCCCTCTCAGGTGCACCTGCTTGACCTCAGTGACCGGGTCGGCCGGCTCCCAAGTCCACGCTCTTGGTCACACTGCTGCACCTTCTCGGAAACTCGCCAAGAACAAGACCCGGCTCTCCCCACCACCCCACCTCTCTCGGGGCCCGTGGTTTCGTCCTCCGTAGCGCAGGTGTTCCTGCCCGTGTCCGCCTGCCCGTGTCCGCCTCCCCCACCGTGACCGAAGTCAGTGCTGAGTGCATGCGCCAGGGCCCTAAGACTGGAGAGGTGACGCTGCAGTGTGGGTGACCTATAAGGAAGGAAGCTCACCTCCTCCTCCAGTGCACTCTACCTGCCAGGGGAACACTGTCAACATCATGAGTGACAAAATGCCCAAGGTGTTGAAAGAAAGAAAAAAGGGCAGTTAGGAAGCTTGTCCTTGCACGTATGCCCTAAATTGTCTCCATTTTGTTCACCTCTCTCGTTTAGGACTTAAAGATGGAGGAAGCTACGAGCAATACAGGTATTCGCTTTTGTTTCTAAAGCCCGGGGTCGGTCCCTCGTCTAGGCCCATCCTTCTTCGGTCCGACCCCCGAGGTCACACGTGCTAGGTTGAGACTTGCCCTCTGTCTGGTCTGCCAAGGGCCTGGATCACCCGCCAGGGATAGGGGTCACCAGAGAGACATTCTTTGTAGTGTTCTTTGGGGGTGACTTTTTCTTTCTTGGTGATGGTTAACACTCATTCTCCTTTTGACACTTGAAAACATAGGCAGTTTCAGCGTCGAAAGTGGCCAGAAATGAAGAGACCTTCTTCCAAATCACTGTGAGTTGAGGAATCAGTTTGCAAACAGAGCCCTGGTTCCGGCTTGCTCCGCTTTGCCAAGGCTGTCTGTGTGCATGCCAGTTCCTATGTATTACTCTCATCTGTTCCTGTAACACAGGGGGAAGTGGTAATGTCTTTCCTGTAAATAACACACTTTGTACATTTCATGTTTTAGATTAATAACTTGTCTATACATACTGCTGTTCTCTACACAATAATCTGTGCCTGAAACTCAAGGTATTCCTTAGAGGTTGAGAAGCACTTAAGTATTGTAACTGCCAGACACCTTGCCGGCTGTGGCTGCAGAAGGACCTGGTCCGTAACATCCGCAGAGCGGCCCCATTATAAATGGCTCCCACAAGGTCCCCGCTACAAACTCCAGTGCCAACAGAGACTGGCAGGGGGCTGAGAGACTGGCGACACAGAGAGGCCACCTCTAGTCTAAAGAGAACGGCACGAGTACACTGCCGTTTGAATCCTCTAATCCATCAGGAAAACCCCAAAACTCAAATATATGAAACTTTTTAACATTGGCAGCTAATTTTCAATTAAGCTGCCATGCAGAGAAACAAAACCCCTTGGTGAGCTCCCATTTGCAACTTCCGGCCCACTGATTTCTTTATATGCATAGAAACCTATGCAGCTTTAATGGGACCATAATAATGGGTCAACTAAGCATGTCTTTGGTGCTTCCAGAGTAAAGGCACATAATTTTCACAGCTCACATTCTCCTTGGCCACTACTCTACCCCTACCTTTAAACGCCACCTTTGCCGGTAACGGGCAGACTAGGTGATTGGGCGGTAGCAAGCCCGTTCTGAGAGACCTAGAAATACGCCTGCTCAGCAGCCACACCCTCGCAGCAAAGCTTACTCAGCTGCAGGACCGATGAAGCCATCTGTAAGCAGCCTGGCATTCAGATGCTGAGACGAGTCTGCTTTGTTCCACAGGGGCCAACTGTGGGAAGGCTGGGAAGGCTAAGCAGCCTGCGACGGACCTCCCATAGCAGAGGCAACGTCTGGCTGTACAGACAGTGCAAACCGCTGTATGACTTCAAGCAGACCTGCGCTGTCAGCCAGGAGGCCTGCGAGACAGACCCTGCTTTCAGTCAACAGGGCAAATTCTGGAAGGGCACCGCCAGGAGTGGTGTGCGATGCTTCGGGAAGTCCGTTTCCGCCCCTGCTTTTGCTTTGGATTATACCTCGCCGGCTACACAAAATGCATTTCATGTCAGAAAGTCACCACTAACCCTCTCCGAGAGGCTCACAAGAGGAAAAACACAGATTATTATACCTTTTTTTTTTTGGCAATTTCCCCAAAGGGTGGAAAGACACTGGAATTTTTTTAAGTCATAGGGGAAGAACAACCCTGTTTAAATCCTCTCACCTTCCTCCCGGTTTGTCACGGAGAAGGACTACGCAGCAGGCCAGAGGCAACGTGCGGACGCTGGGGAGGAGCCCAGTCCAGCCGGGAGCCGCTGGCACAGGAGACGTGCCGCTCACCCAGCACTGCCCCCCCGGCTGCCCGCGAAGTAACTGACTTCACTGTATATACGCGACTCTCTACATGTAACCAGTGCGGAACTTCCAGGGGAACCCAGCGACGAGGAGACCCCGTTCTCAGGAGCGGGGGCGCCGGTGAACACTCCCTGGACAGCTGCGAGAACAGCCCTTGCAGCGTGGGCCTTTCCGCGCCTGCCCAGACACTGCTTCTCCCACTGTCCTTTCGTTCTCTCCCCCAAAAGTAATGTCTTTTCAAGTACCGAAAAGGAATGAAGTTCATGTACGTCCCAAGTTTTAATGAAATTGTATTTGTAAAGAAATTTTGTAGTCTAAGTACTGTCAAACAATGTTCAAAACTCCAGCCAGTGACCAGCGGTTGGTATGAGGTAACCCTTGACATTTTGTAAAAGGCCATCCTTGAGAGATTTTTACTTTGATTTCTTAAAAACCAAGACACTACAAAAGTCAATACCTTTTTTGAAGGGGACACCTTGGACTTAAAAAAAAAAAAAAAAAACCTACCTATGGGGGAATAAATATAAATTAATGACTAAAATTGACCGCATTTCAGGGACTTAGCAGGTAAGTCTCACATTACACCAGCTTTGGGACCTTTTAAAATGTGTGAGATGCACAGCGATTCACTGACCCTTCTCTGTGTCCCAGGTAGTGTAACCTGGTAAAGGTAGCTGTCAAAATGCGGGAATGGGAGAAACAGGAGGAACCTCAGCCATCGACTAGTCCAACGCACTCCTCATTGAACAGATGACCCCTAAGCACTCACCTTTGTTAACTCCAGTGCCATGTTTTCAAAATTTCTTTTTGGAACATGTTTTCAGAGTATAATCTCCAGTTTTGCTGTTTCTGTTGCTACAGACAATAAAAGGCATTGGGGGAAGGGATTTCTTTTAACATCCCAGAAACTGCTACAATTATTTGAAATAAGAGCCCTTAACCTTTTTTTATTTTTCACTCTTAATCCAATGGGAAATTTTTTAAAGAAATAAATAAAGCAAGCTCTTAGGCTTCAACTTTAAATAGAAACCTTTATTTACAATGACACCCAAAATGATCAGCAAAACAGTCATAGCTTACCACACAACCATCTCATAAGTTATCCCATGTGGTTTGGAGTCTTTGTGGTGTAAAGAATGATTTAGATTTTTAAAAAGCAACATTTAATGTAAACTTGATTGAAATTGAATTCATTCTCAATACTGCAAGTCAATTCCTGAGAATTTAAATATTGCTCTCAGAATGACATTTCCATCTTCTTCAAAATTCCATATTAGAAAGAAAGAGAGAGAAGGAAAAACAACACCCTGCTCATTATTAAACAGTTTGCCTCGGGCTGAGCAGCCACGCCCACTCCTCGCAGCAGCAGGAGATCTCATGGATCCTAGAGGTTTCGCTATGAATTTCCCACTTGTGAACAAAACCCATGGCTTCTGCAAATAAAAAGGGAACTGGGCAGGCATATGGGTAACTGGTAATGCATTCTATGACTTTCCAGCTGCATCTCTGGATCCAAGAACTTCTGGGACAGCAAGCCAATTCTGTTCTACAGCTCCTCACCCCCTATACCCCCAACTCACCTTAGCAAATACGCTTAAGCAGTCCTGGTGATTGATATTTACACCTTCCCAGCAAGATGCACAATTTAGAAAACGGCATCATAATATGAACATTAACAATTTCTATTTGCTTTTTTAAAGGAAGAAACCTATTATCCCCTTTATATCATTTTGATCTTTAAAAAATATATATATCTTTATCTTTGGATTCAGCAAAAAAGTAGGTATACTGGAAATATCTCACATTCTAAAAGCAGAGAAAAGATTACTTACTTATACTGTTCACCCAACACATACCAAGGTTTAAAAAAGTGGGGGGAGGGGGGTGAGGAGAGGTAGGCAGCAGGAGTACAAAGAATTATCCAAAAAAGATAAAAGGGCAGTAAAGGTTAAAAACAAATTATCTGAAAGACTGCACCTATTAAAAGAAAAAATAAAAACTTTCAGTTTGTACCAATAAAGTGAACACGTAGAAAATATAAAAACTTACAATAAACATGTTTGTCATATAAAAAGGGATGCTGCTGCCATCAGTTAGCACGGAACCAGGACCAAGGGAAAGGATCATAAAACTTTAATTTCTGAAAGTCAGGAAAGGTAAGAGCACCGTTCTCTCTCCCCGCACGCACCAGACTGAACGAGAAAGGTCCGACGCCCCCGGCACAGCTGTCTGCAAAGGCAGGCGCTCTGACTCCGTCCGTCCGTCCGTCCGTCCGTCCATCTGCAGACGGGAGGCTATACTATCTGAAAAGGACGGGCTGTTTCATGGAAGCTGATGGATTTACAATCTTAGATTCATTTTTAACGGGGCAGGCGGGGAGGGGGTGTCACACTCAAATCCACTCTAGTGGTGGTTCTGGAAATACAGATTTCACTCATTTATAAGCAAGTCAAAGAAATTAAATGATCTTACCTTCAGAGGCACCTAGAAAGATTAGCTTCATGTATATGAAATAAAAACTGGCTCTCACTTATTGCTAGGAAATGACGCCAAAGCTAGCTGAGACATTTGAAATTCATAGCTACTACAAAAACCCAATTTCGTTCAATTGTTTGAACCTAATTAACTAAAGCAGACACAGGGAATTACACTGTCTTTTTATCCTATCCCCAACTGACCAGAACAAGTGTCAGGGAGAAGTGACAGCAGGCGGGGGCTTAAGTAGCAGAGGGGGTGAGTGCAAAGGCACTCAGACTGTAGCTCTGAATCGCACAAAACTGACTTCTTGGGACTGAGTCCCTAAGAAATAACCAGGACACTATTCCTGTTCTCAGGGATGGTGAAAGCAACGTGTTAGTGAGCGACGCGACGGCTGAGCAGACACCAGAAACCACACATCAAGGATTCTGCTCCTGAGAGCTCAACGTGGGATTCAGGTCCCAGTAGCCCAAACCTTAGCGCAATCCTCAAATAGACAAAAAGATCCCACATTTAATTAAAAAAAGTTAATTACTATTGTTTAATGTATGGACCGCTTAAATTCCAAGACTCTTTTTTAAATCGAATTGCTTGATCTTTTTAAGTTCTTGACATTTTTTTTCAAAGTTTATTTCCCCATGTTTATTCTTTCCCTCAAAATTAACAAAGTGCTTAGTTCTGGTAGAAGAATTTTTTTTAAAAATTTAAATGTCTACATCTAAACAAATGATCTCTTTAAAAAGCTTTTAGGTTAAGAGACTGGAAAAGAGCGAGGCCTCTAAGGCTGGAGGGAAGGGAGAGCTTTGGGCCTCTGTCCCCGCCCCCAGGCCACAAAATGCAGGGGACGTCTCTTCTGCTTGTAACCTCACCACACTGAGCTTACTGCAATCAACAATGTTAAATATTTAACTTCACAAACTCTATAAAAATGAGTTGTTGTGACCTACAAAAAAGGTATGTACATATTTTACATAATATAATATTTTAAAGGTCATATTTACAAGAGAAAATCTATTCACAGAAACACTGCAAAATTCTGATTCAGAATGCAGTACCTGGCCTTGGGTTTTCTGCAGTTTATTCTCCAAAAGCATTATTGCTCTACCATATAGGCAAAGGGTGACACCAGCACTTTCAACAACAAGAAAATCACAGTTCTTATCCAACAGATTAGACAAAAACCAGGAATGTGGTTCATCATTCCTCAAGACCTCAAGAATATTGCATTTATCCACTACATTCTAAATAAAGTGCACTCGGCGGCACGTTAGCATGTGAAAGTTTGCTACTGCTGCAGTTAAATACTGTCATCTCCCTTTCCCTTCTACAAAGCCATTTGACATCAAGGAATTCCTGGAGGTGAAGTATGACAAAACATTAGGGGCAAATGAAAATCCTAGCTAAGGCCTAAGTCAACCAAGAACAGGGTTGGAGCAACTCAACACTATCATTAAAGGAAGAAAATGCAGAAATTCCAACCCTATGGGACAGAACCACCTGGTGGTGCCAGACACAAACGAAGGCTGGATGATGCTCTTCCTCCATTACTGCAACTAGAGAAACCAGATTTTCTGATCTCTTGATTTTTCCAATGTTCTCCGTTCCATGTCCCACCTACTCTTATCTGAATGACTGGACAGCCAGGCAGACAGAAGGGACAGAGAGTCTTGTGATTACTAACACTCCATTACCTCCAGAACCATATCCATAACAGGGAGAATGCCAAAACTTTTGAATACCATGACACATCAGGAGGGAAAAAGAAAAAGGTAGGTTTCATGCTTCAGCTTTTCAAATCCAGTCCTAGTCAAATGACATCACTTGGAATACCCTTGATGGAGATTCAAAGCTGGTCCTTTCTTCAAAAACAGGTGCCTAGAATGACGACTCTTCACTCCCAATAATCCTAGTGCAGTGTCATTTGTACAGTGATCTTTGGAGGTCCTGGTGTAGACGTCAGCAGTATTTCTGTCAACAACCAGAAGAAACATGCGTGAAACGCTTTGCACAAAAGAATCCGTATGTCTATCCTGATGGCTTGCGACATGGCTCTGGCTGACCGATTCCTCAGACCTCAAATTGCCAAAAGTATCTAACTGCCCAATGCCTTCAAACCAAAAATTTTTTCAATGACTGCATTTTTAGGTTTTACATCCAAGTTAAAAAGCCTACCTAGGATTTTAGATTACAGTTGAAGCTTTGGTTCCTTCCAGAGAACAAGAAAAAACCCCTGAGAAAGGAAGGAATAGACCCCCATACCTGATCGGGGCCCATGGGCATGCCAGACATGGGCATGGAGTTCACATTCATCTGCCCCATGGGACCGCTGCTGCCATTCATGTGCACCATGCTGTACGCCGCAGGACTCCCCTGGTGGGCGAACTGCTGCTGGGGAAAGGAACTGCAAAGGAAGTGTGAGATTACCTCCTGGGTCACTTCAGTAACACAGGACATGCACACAGAGACTACCACCGTTTTGCCAAGTGTCACTGTATTTAGCAAAGAACAACATGAGCGAAGAAACCCCCTGACAGTCTGCCCTCTATTTTTCAAAGCTGTCTGTACTCAATGGTCTCATGGATACGTGCATGGTAGGAAGGATTCACAAAATGGATGAGCCAAATAACACTTTCTAAAATGAACCCAGGCCTTTTGATCTCTCCACTCAAACAGGCTTAACTCAAACATGCGGAGATTTCCTAAACTTTTGGCATAGGATATGAATGACTTAAAAGTCCCTGTTACTCACCTGTTCCTAGCCAGGTTTCCTGATGGCCAGCCCTTCATTTCTGAGGACTGATACACAGGTGCGGTCTGAGGGTGCTGCATCATAGGATTCTGGGAGGGACCCATTCTTGATGACATCATTGCACTGGGAGGACTGGATACTCGACCAAAGGCTGGATCTGGTTGTTGTCCCATCCCTTGGAAAAAGAAAGAAGAAAAAAAAAAATTACAATGCTCAAATGCTACCTCCTCAGACTATTGGCTTTCTATAGTAATTTTAGGCTATTTTTTAAAAGCGGGGGGAGGTGAGAAGTCTAAGACACAAAGTGCTACACGATGCTGCCTGCCGGTTATTCTTGCTTCTCACCAGGATGCCAACTGGAGTGAGAGACTTACTGTAGAAAAACACACTGAGAAGATCACTTGAAGGGCAGTTATTTCCATGAGCTTTCTGTATAAAAGGGACTCCATGTTACCCAACTCACATCACTCTGTCCCTCTTTCGAGGGCAGAAGAGCTGTTGTCCTAGCTGGCAGGAGTGCATTCTAAAATGTAATCTCCCTAGTGGCTACTGCTACCACCCCGAGAGGTATATGCAGTATTGTAATTAACGTCTCAGTCACCAAAACAAGAACTCAAAAGCCCACACAAACACCACTCTCATTGACTCGACCAAGCATCTGGAGACTGCAGAGACATGTTGGGGGGTGAACACCTGGTGGTCTTTCTTGCAAATTAAGACGTGGAGAGCTGGAAAAACAAACCTGAAAAAAAATACTCAATGGTGACAGATCATCTACCTCAATTACAATTACCTGTGCAATGCAGGAGACATTTTTGTTATTTTTAATTAATCTCACTTTTTTGTGAAGAGGGAGTAAACAGTATTTTCATTTGTTTTTAATATGCAACAGAGCTAGTGAATTTCACGTCTTTAGTAAAAGTATCCTCTGAGGCAGACATTTTCACTGTCCAACTTACCGTAGTTTGGTGGGTATGGAAACTGCTGGGGTGGAACCTGTGGAATGGCGGGCCCCGCCAGCACCCCGTCCATGCTGGGGGATGCGGTCACGTTGGGCGGTGGGCTGAAGGCCTGGGTCTGCTGCTGTTGCTGCTGCTGCTGCTGCTGCATCATCATCGCTGCCACCCTCTGCTGTCGGAAGTGATGACTTAGCAGCTCCCTGCTGCGCTGGGCCACCATCTGGGCATTAAGAAAGCCCTGCTAACACCCAGGAAGAATGCAATTATACACATATTTGTGTAATAGCCAGCTGATTTCATGCATACAGTACCCCCTTCTCTGTAATTGCAAAAAACGGGGAAAAGTACAATTCTCATATTGTAAAGGCTTTCTGGCTACTAGAGGAGGTAGGGGATGAAGATGTGCGGAGTAGGGACCTAGAAATTATTTGGGGTCAAGAGACAAAACCAGACAACTGTCAAGCTTTAAAGAGAAAACACCCCTCAAAGTAAGAGGGTATCGAGAGGTGCATTTTGAGGACAAACTTTTCAGAAACTATGACATAAAACTACAAGATGAAAGAGGGCAGACTGAGAGTGTATTAGGGAGAAGGGGATTTGAAACAAGAGGGGAGCAGCAATCTACCCCAGGTCTTATCGTTTCTTTAAACCTTCTGAAAGAGGGGCAGTCGGCAAGGAGAAGCTGTGGGGAGGGAGGTCAGGAGGTGACATGACCAAAGCACTGAACAGGGAAGCTGGCTTGTGCTCCACCAGCTGGGAGAGACCATCTCCAAAGGCAAACTTTCCTTATCTTTTTGGAGGGCACCCTAGCTTAGCTTAACACAGGATGTCTGATTATCAAGAAAATACAGACTTCAAAGTCTGATGCACTGAAAAAATCAGTAGTTCAAAGTGGACCTAAGACACTGAAAACTGGGCATTTTCACAGCTGTTTTTTAATAACAACAATTATGAATATTTCAGACCACGGTAAAGGATTTCATGTTATCATCTGCCTCATTCACATTAAGAAAATACCTTAATTACAGTCTCCACCTTGGACTGGAGGGACAGAACTTTAGTATCATCCCTCCCACTGTGGGAAACAGGTCATCTCGGGTTATTACTGAGAGGAAGATTTACTTTCTTCTTTATAGTTCTTACAATTTCAGGTGTTACCCAGAGAGCATATGGTTTCATAATCCAAACAGAGAAAAGTTTATAGATCATCTTAAATTCCTAAAAAGTGATAGCCGTTTTTACAACATGGCAACTGATCACAAGTAGGAATTAATTTATAAAACACAATTCAGTAGTGTTTATAAAAAAACATCTCCTCTTCTGATTCTTCCCAGTCACCAGCAAGAGAAAAGAATGAGAAAGTGTGATGGGACCATGGGATGGTTTCTTACGCAAGAAACTGGGAATTACTTTATTTAACATTCACTGAAAGCCAACCACAGGCTGCATCAGACTCTGTGCCAGGCAGAGAGCAGTGAAACTGAACATACAGGCACTTGTTCTCACCTGGGAGCTCACCTGGGGCTGCATCATGGGCCTCATCATTGCAGCTGCACCAGCAGTGGGGTTTTCCATTTTCATTTCAAGTGCCTGGCGGCTCTGATTTAAAAACTGGAGAGAAACAGATTAGTTAGGATGCAATGGAACATGTTAATGAGCCCTAAACAGCTTTCCAAATCCTCAGCCCACCCAGTGAAGTCAAGATGATATTTCCAAACCCATTAACATGGTTAAGTCACATCTAAGCTGAACCAGTACACTTCCCACACTTCAAAATGTTCATGCTGAAAAGTTCTGGGCTAGCAAGCATTTGAAACTTTATTGTCTGGCATCAGAAGAAAAACATGAAAGTGTAATTTTGCAACTTAAAAAATATCTACAATAGGAACTCAAAAGATTTATGAAGTCAGATGTTCTCTGGGATTATTTAGGCCACTGGGGAAAGAAACAGCTTTACTTGGTCAGACTAACATTATCTCTTCCCAGATAAATTTCATTGGGAAGAAACGATAAAATGTAAAACGATACCATGAGCACATTAACACAGCATTTCCTGAGCCCTAAACTGACTTTTAGGACTATCCATGCACTAGAAGCATCTCTGGTTCACTGGATTCTAAACTCACTCACGCTTGCCTATTTATATGGTTCATTCTGCCTGGCACTGTAGAACTCAGCACACCCAAGATGTAAACAATGTAAATAAGATTAAAGCATTTCTTGGAGATTAAGCAAAGGATGAGAAAAATATGTCTTATCTTGGCATATTAAAAGAGCTCAAGTTTTAGAAAATATTTAGAAAGCAGAAATTCCATAAAAAGAATGCTGCCCTGGCTGGTGTGGCTCAGTGGATTGAGAGCCGGCCTACAAACCAAAGGGTCACTGGTTCGATTCCCCAGTCAGGGCACACGCCTGGGTTGCAGGCCTGGTCCCCAGTAGGGAGCGTGCGAGAGGTAATCACACAATGATGTTGCTCTTCCTTTCTTCCCCTCTCTAAAAATAAACAAAACCTAAAAAAATCTAAAATTACAAAAAAAAAAATGCTGAAATCAAAATGGCTTAAATAGGCACTGTAGAACTCAGCACACCCAAGATGTAAACAATGTAAATAAGATTAAAGCATTTCTTGGAGATTAAGCAAAGGATGAGAAAAATATGTCTTATCTTGGCATATTAAAAGAGCTCAAGTTTTAGAAAATATTTAGAAAGCAGAAATTCCATAAAAAGAATGCTGCCCTGGCTGGTGTGGCTCAGTGGATTGAGAGCCGGCCTACAAACCAAAGGGTCACTGGTTCGATTCCCAGTCAGGGCACACGCCTGGGTTGCAGGCCTGGTCCCCAGTAGGGAGCGTGCGAGAGGTAATCACACAATGATGTTGCTCTTCCTTTCTTCCCCTCTCTAAAAATAAACAAAACCTAAAAAAATCTAAAATTACAAAAAAAAAATGCTGAAATCAAAATGGCTTAAATATTTTGTTAGTACTATTAAGAACTGTTTTTAAAAAGAGGTTATTTACCTCAAGGACTACAAAGTCATCAAGAAATATTCTTCTCACTCAAGAGCAATCCTCTCTAACACTGACTTTTTAACCTTTTTAACCATTTACAACAGAATGTTCTTATAAAAAGGAATCGAATTCTAGCGTACCACACCCTAACAAGAAACTATCTGCACAAATAAAATGTTACACAGAAATGAAACCAAAAGGAATTTTGCTAGTTGACAAGGGTAGAGAGCCAGTGACAAGAGCTCCGAAGTACAATCTGAAAATGAAGAGGAGGGGGCCAAAGCCCAAGCCACCTCAGCCAAGGGAGAGCATGTGACTGGTTACCTGCTGGCCCTGCAGCCTCTGCTGAAGCTGCATTCTAAGCTGCTTGGGGGTATTGGTCCGAGGTCTCATGATGTTGGCCCTAGGGTGCATTCCCTGGAGAGGAAAACTGCCTTGCTGGTTCACCTGACTCATCATCGAGTTAAAAGACGGTGACTGTCCCTGAAGATTAAAGCCTCCTTGCATTGGAGGCCCCTGTGCTGGATACGTCGGCCCATACAAGGCTGCCTTCTGATCCATCATCACTGCTGCTTCTTGGCCTTGGAAAACATCCTGTTTGGGCTCCAAAGCTTGTCCCTTAAACATCAAACACATAAATGAACTGTGAGGCACATCTGGGAAAGCAACTGACATCAAATGCTCTAAAGGAGGTAAAAAGTAAGTTAATGTATGTGAACAATGACAATGCAGAGTTCCAAAAGCAAAACCAAGTTTATTATCTGAAGTCCCATGAGGGCACAAACCATGTCCCATCTTTTCACAGCTGTGCCCTGGTGGCCTGGCACAAGGTTTCACAAAAATAGACACGGAAATATTTTCTGAGCCCAGTGTCTGCAATATATTAAGTACCTGGAGAAATACTATGCTCAATGAATTCTAATGTAATTTTAAAAGAATGCTGTTGAAGTTTGCAAAAAAGGTGATTTTGGTGGAGGCTTGTAAATTAACAAAGGCTCACTGCCCCTGGAATATACTCACCTAAAGGTAGTCACCCACTACTATTTGTTGGTGGTGGGCAGTATATATTTATAAGAACCTGTTATGTCCCAGGCATCACTTCTACCAAGGATGTGTACAAAATAATGTCCAACATGTGACAGAAATAGTACAAATATTCTGAAGGCATCTTGACCAGTGTGGCTCAGCTGTTTAGGTGACATCCCGCAACGCAAAAGGTCTCTGGTTCGATTCCCAGTCAGGGCACATGGTCCCCGATTGGGGTACATACAAGAGGCAACCAGTTGATGTTTCTCTCCCACTCTTTCTCCCTCCCTTCCCATTGCTCTAAAAATAAATTTAAAATTTTTTTCTTAAATATTCTAAAGGAGGAAAGAGCCTGCCATGCTAAGAAGAACCTGTCAGGTACTGCATTGACCTATATATTCTTATCCACAGACAGAGAATGCCATGTGTGCAGTGCACACCCTCACCGAGGCTTGCCTGGAAGCATACTGGACCCCACTGGCTTTTCTCCCCGCTGCCTTGCCTCTCCGTGAGGGAATTCTAGCCCTCTTCTTTTCTCTCACTACATTTTCTGCTTCGATGTTCTCATCCACTAGCAACAACTGCCAAATATTTTGTCTCTGGCTCAAATGTCTCTGAAGTCTAATTTTACTTATACATATGCCTACTTAACATCTTTACCTAGATGTCTCAGGCATCTCAAACGTAACATGCAGGAAACGGTTGTGATTCCTAATAGCCTCTCACGCAAAAGCCTGACTCTCGTCCAATTTCTCCTGTATTACAATACACGGCATCTCTATTCATCCCGAACTAAAAGCCAGCAATTTCGACTCTTCACATTCTCCCTGAAAAGCATGTGCATGTACATGCACGCTTACATAGTCCACCAAGTCCCATCAGTCTTGCCTCCTTGTCATATGGTGTATTCTTTCCTTCATTCCATTGCCACGACCTTTTCCAAGACACCATTCAGGCTCTTGTAGTAACTGGCATCTGTGCTTCTACACTGTCCCATCACACCAATTCCCTTCTTCAGACAGCAATCTGCAGTATCTTTTTATTCCTGTTATCCTCACTCAAAAACATGCTTACTGATTTTAGAGAAAAAGGGAGGGAGAGAGTGAGAGGGAAAGAAACACTGATGTGACAGAGAAATACTGATTAGCTGCCTCTGACACGTGCCCCAAATGGGGACTGAACTGCAACCCAGGCATGCGCCCTGACTGGGAATCAAACCCGCAACCCTCTCGTTTACAGGACAACACTCCAACCAACTGAGCCACACCAGTTAGGGCTGCCATATGTTTTCATAATGAAAATTTATACAGTAAAAAATACTCTAAGTTTAACGTGGCAGACTGATCATGCACATTTACCAACTTTCTCTTGCAAACCCTACTAAAATAATAGCAAATAATGTAAACGGTATCCACTGAACAACGAGAGTAAGAAAGGCTAACGAGATCCAATTGTTCAGTGGGCACCTGAAAGACAGAAAGGGAAAGGTGAAGCACTGGGTTGGCCAAAAAAGTTGGGTTAGGTTTTTCCGTAAGATTTAGTAGAGCTTAGCTATTTTAATTTCATTCAAAACAATTCTGTTAGATTGTATTATGGCAGCTGTCATATCAGCGTGCTTTAAAAAAAATACCAAAATTGTTGAATTTTTGTGTAGCCATTTTAATATTGAAGATGGAAGAAAATATGCAATATTTTCAGCATAGTATGTTTATTATTTCAAGAAAGGTAAAAACACAACAGAAATGCAAAAGAAGATTTGGGCGGTGTATGGAGAGGGTGCTATAGCATTCAAACATGTCAAAAGTGGTTGGCGAAGTTGCATGCTGGAGATTCCTCACTGGATGATGCTCCATGGTCAGGTATACCAGTTGAAGTTGGGAGCAATCAAATCGAGACCTTGAGATCAATCACTGTTATACAACATGGGAGATGGCTGACATACTCAAAATATCCAAATCAATAGTTATTGGTGAAAAGAAAAATGTCTTTTATTTTATGGGGAAAGAAACCTTATGCGCTTTCTGGCCAACCCAGTAACTCAGAAGAGCAGAGAAACTGAGACCCGTGAGCCTGAAGAGGAAACACACGAGAACTGTGCAGACATCTCCCCCAGAGCTGATGGGAGCCTTCCCTGGGGCAGCAGAGGGTCAGGCACGTGCTCTCACAGGCGGCCGCTCAGGAGTCTGAGTACAGGGCAAGGGGGCCAGCTACCTCCCTTCCCTCAGCCTGCTCCCCAGCTCCACACAGCCGAATAGCTGTGCCTTCTATCTACTCCCCCAAGGGCCTGGATTCAGGGACCCCAAGCACAGCAAAGGGCAGGAGCAGGACAGAGACTGAAAACAGGAAATCTTATATATTTATAACTGCTAATAGAATGTTACACCTTAACGCTATGGGATCATCAACTTGCTTCTCTAGCCCAGCTCCCAAAATGCAACCAGGCAATAAAAAAATTCCAGGCAAGAAATGGAGGACCGTCTCTAGAAAAACCGTGCAGTGAGAGTGGAGGGCAAGGGTGCCAGAAAGTCTACATGCTGCAATTTGCGGAGTCCTTAAATAAGACTGATCCTGCTTTTTAATACATCATTCTTAAATATAAAGAGACAGTTCAGGATCAGCAGATATTTGATGCTGATGCTTCCAACATTAGTGCCTCAAACAAGTACAAAGTAACTTAAAAACAAAGATTAAAAAAACACGTACAGAGAATCAACACAACACCCAACATGTCAACAGACATCCTAGAAAGAAAGAAAAAACAGAAGAGATAACATTATTTTTAAAATGATACAAGAAAATGCCCCCAGTCAAAGGAAGTACCTGTGTGTCTAACACAGCAGAATGAATGAAACAAGACCCATACCAGATAGGGCCTCATGAAACCTCGGAGAGAAGAAAGGTTCCTGAGTAATTCCAAAGGGAACAAATAGGTCTCACACACGCAGAAAAGGGGTCAGACTGGGCAACACTGGATGCCAGAAAAATACAGACTTCTTCCCAGACAGGAAACCACTTTCGACCTAGAATTTAATACACACCCAGGCGTGCAGGGGGTAGGGGGATTTTCAAACATTCAAGGACCTAAAACATTGCATCTCATGCAGCAGAGATGAAGAAGGTAACAGAAATTGTGTTTGAAAAAACCCAAAGAGTAAATCAAAAAGGAAAATGACCTAGGATTCAAGAACTGGGGCACCAACATAGGAGAAGAGTGACAATTACTAATCACCAGACCTGCCTCTCAAGGGCCAAGTAAAACAGAGGGACAGAGGACTATAGGAAAGAAAGAAGGAATTGAAGTGTCTGAACATGTGAAGAAAAAAATAAGAGAAATTTTGTACGTCTGTTGGAGTATCTGGAGAAAAATAGCAGTAAGTGTATAGACAACAAAGCAAATTAAAAAAAAAAGGCAATTATTCCTGGCTGATGTGGCTCAGTGGAGTAAGCACTAGCCTGCAAACCAAAGGGTCACCAGTTAAATTCCCCGTCAGGACACATGCCCGGGTTGCAGGCCAGGTCCCCAATAGGGGGCGTGAAAGAGGCAACCACATATTGATGTTTCTCTCCATCTCTTTCTCCCTCCCTTCCCCTCTCTCTAAAAATAAAAAAATTTTAAAAATCTTTTTAAAAAGGCAATTAACTCTCACACACACACAAAACCCTATACAAACTATACCTGAAATCAGTAATGAGTCAAAATAATGTAAATATCGACTACCTATTCAACAAAAGGTGTAACTATATCAGGGGTATAAAGACAGCCCATGGGTATGTAGGGGCTACAGGGGTGCGAGTGCACATTGGGGCAAGGGGGATAAAAACCAACCCACAATTTATCGGAAATTCCAAATATCCAGTAAATCTTAAAAAATAAAACAATTTTTATCAGCACCAAATGTATTTAACAAGTAAAACCTGATCTGAATTTATAGGAAGAAACACATAATCTCTATATACTCCACTTAGTGTGACTATTTATGTATCTTGCTGCAGAAGCATTAACATGTTTGATCACTGGCTACTGCCCAAAACTATAGTATTGCTCAAGAATCTACCAGGGGTACCATGTAATATGTCATATGCATGTATCATTTACCTTTCTAAAATCCAAAATTCCTAAATCCAAAGCACATCTGACCCCAAGGTTCTAAGATGAGAGACTATGAATGCATCCACTATTATATCAGGAATGCAACAGATACAGAATGAAGTTGATAAAAAGAAGCAGCTCCATAAAGCACAGTACTCAGAAATATCACCAAAGTAAACAGCTGAGTTTCACTACCCCTGAGTGAAGTAAATGACTGTGGTTCCTCAGTAAGTATATTCTATATCACTGTATTTTTAAGTTACAAAGACTACTTTGCTAAAAATAAAAATTAATTTAAAAGGAAAGGTCTCATCACTATCCTGCTTAAAATCTTCCAGGGCTTCCCAATACAGCAGGAAAACCCCAGACCCCTTTAGAGGATGGTTTTGCGGCACCCACCTTTGTCTCTCTAGCATAATCGCATGCCGGTCCCTCTCTGCCCTCTTTCTGGACCCCCCAAGCTCTGTCCTGCTAAAGAACCTTTGAGTTAGCTCTACTTCTTCTGGAATGTTCTTCCCCTAGCTGTTTGCAGAGCTGGCCCCTTCTCTTCCTTCAGGTGTTAGCTTATATGTCATCTCCCCAGAAAAAAGTCTTCCTGGCCATTCAAGTAAGTCCCCAGTTATTCTTTACTTCATCATCCTGAATCTGAAAACACAAGCGTTTTAAAACTAAAGAACAAAACTACAAACTCCCACTAAAAAGAAACTAGAAAAAGTATTTGCAATATATTAGATAAGTTAATAGTCACCCTTCAAATCACAGCTCAAACAAGACTTTTTAGAGGAAAAATTTGACATTCCATGCCCATTAAGAAAAGGCCCCTCTATGATACAGTTTCACAGTATTACATGCCTCTTCTCAAAACTGCTATCACACCATGCCTACTTCCAACTGCGTGGTTCCTTGCCTGATGTCTGCCCTGCCCAGTGGGAGGCACGTTTTGGGAGCAGGAACTAATTTGATCACTATGACTCCACAGCCTCTAATAAAAGACTGACTGGCACATAGAAGACAAATATTTGTTAAGTGAAAGAATCAACAAATAAATCAATAACGAAACATAAAGTATTGTTGCAAATAAAATAAAAATCCCATCAGAAAACTACTTCAAAACATTTAAATGGCCAAAAAATGAAGAATATGTTCAATCTTGCAAATCAAAGACATGCAATTTAAAACAAGATTCCAGTTGCCCACCCGCCTGGCAAAGATTTAAGAGAACGATCACGCACAGCAGTGGTTCTGTGACTTGCTCATTCACACCATGTATTTTGTGCACATCTGCTCCCCAACAAGGACTGAGAAACCCTTAAGGATCTCTCCTGCTTATCACTGAATGCACAAACCCAACCAGCCTCCCACTCCACACCCTTTCAATCGCACAGTCACTACAAAACATACCCCATTTTGCCGTGGGTAAAGTGTACCCACATTTTTGTGCATGCTATACACAGGGTTGTTATACCCATGGTATGTAATCATTATACTCATGTATGATGCGTTATTTTTCCCTAAAAATTTTAGGCAAAAAAGTGCTCATTATACACAACAAAATATGGTGCCTGTTTCAAACACACAGATTTGTGAATAGTGTGTTTTCATAAGGATGCACAAGTAACTATGAATAGATGATGGTGCTGGGATAATCACATATTTACCGTTATAGATGGGTTTTGTTTAACATAATAAAAAGCTTCCTCCTCAGAATACACATCATTGGCTAGGCAGTAAAGAGAGGTAATTATAAAAATAAAGACTCTTATGTAAACTGTAATTTAAAACTTTTTAAAAATAAGTAAAATAAAAATGAGAACTCTTAATTAGCATAAGTAAAAAGCATCATTTTTAAAACTACATGGTTATTTTATTGGATCATTTCTATGGTTGCCTAAAATTTAACACCTTTATAAAATGATAGGTTGCTGGAAGTAGCATCACTTCTAATAAAGCGTATTTTCTCAATTTAATGCTGGTATACATGAAGGCAGAAACAGAAAAGACGACAGCCAGCCTTGTGCACGGCTCCCGAGATGTGCACGCATACAATTCTTTCTCTCCGTCCCTGCTACCTACCTGATTCACAAGTTCAGGGATGCCCAGAGCTCTGTCAATTTCTTCTAAGCCTGTGGCATCGGTGTTGCTCAAGAGAGTGTGCAGTTGGTCCAGTAATGCTCTTTCATCATTCTGTCCTTCTATGTTAGAAGGTGGCCCAAGGAGATCATCCAGGGAATTCCTAAGAAGTGGCCTAAAAAGAGACTTGCAATCAATCTCAATGGTGCTTTTCCTCTTAAAAAAATAATAAAAAAATAACCACATGCAATATTTTAATGTGCAAAAATAACTTAAACACTGTAAGAATAAATAATGAACTAGGTAACAGAGTCTAGCAAATGGTATCAACTTAAATTTAAGGCCCACAATTTAAACTCACCAGGCCATCTTCAACCACCGTATTTAGCTTAGGCCTCACCTCTCCCACCACCAAAATCTAACTGTTAGACCCCCAGGTATTTGAAGCATAGCAGAGAAGGAGGGGTGCAATTTTCAAGATCCTACAAGACTAGAGGTGGAAATAGTCAAGTAAGTTGAGAGGAAAAGAAAAAAAAAACAGGAAAAAGGACAGCAAGGTTGCACTATCAATGAACAAAGCCTGGGAATCTCCTAAAATAACTTTTTGTTACACTTGGCCCACAGAGCTCATGTACTGATGAGCACAATACAAACGCCCACAGCAAGGTGCCCCAGGACTCCAACACATGACAAAGGCATGGAGCTAGACATTTCTCCTACCTCAGAAAAATCCAGTGATGAAACTATTTGTTCTCTACTGGGTAGAGAAGCACTCAAGTTAATAAATTCACGTGATCATATCACTGACTACTCAATAGATCAATTCCTTTTTTCTTAGCTTAATTTATTATAACATTCAGGTTAGAACTGACATTGACAGGCAGCCGCCTCCACGCAAATGACTTACTGGCCACACTAAAGAAAAATGAAATATAAACATAATCCACAATCGTTCTTTTACAAAAAAAGAGTGCTATAGTTCACCATCACCAACATCCCTAAAATGTCTTTTTAAAAATGGTGGAAGACTTATCCAATCCTGAAAAACTAACTTTCCATAAAAACTAGACTTATCTTCTGAACACCATTTATCTTGTAAAAACGGTACAAATGTACCGCCTCCTCACGGAGGAGGATTATTACATCGAGAGACAGCTACCTCGGAGAGGCTCTCGGGTCTGACCTCTCAGGAGTCCTGGCAGCTGAACCACGCAGCTCCGTTTCCTCCCTCTCCCGCGAGAGCCACCATCACGGCCTCGCCTCGGCCTCGTTTTCACATACAACTATCCAGGAAATGCCCAGGTGCCCGCGAAGTACCTAATTTCAGAGAGTCTGCCTCGTTCTCTTTCAGGCTTGTTCCTGTGCTCTGATCATTTTCTGGATAATCCAATGCTAACATTTTCTACAGAGCCACATAATAAACCCCCACCTGTTTTGAGCCCCATGAAGGCTTTGTTCCATGGACAACATGCCGTCTGGCCAGGAACCCGGTTGGTTCGATGGTGCTGCTTGGCCGTAAGGACCAACACCCATTCCCATGGGAATTTCACCAGGCCCTGGGGGAACAAGAAAGAATAAATTTTTAAATAATCCAATAGCAAAATTTACCCCACAACATCTAATTTTCTTTTGCTATGAAGGGGATGCTTACGCATTTGAAGCATCTGCTGCTGCTGCTGCTGCTGCTGTTGCTGCTGCTGTTGTTGCTGCTGCTGCTGCAACATTGGTCTTGCACCTGGAATGCTATTGGACCGAAGAGGCAAGGTGGGCATCGAGCCACCCAACGTAGGTCTGGGTAAAGAAGCATTATAATCCACTCCTGGTCTTCCCATGGAGGGTGAGCTCATAGGTTCCATTCGGCCGGCCTTTGAGTTTGGTAAGCCCCAGTCTCCCACAGAAGGAGCCTGATTCACGGTCACATTTCTGTTTGGCCCACCTACAACAGGTAGAAATGGTTGGGTCTTCTCCATAGTATAATGAAATCTATCTTGTATCATATAGATATGATCATTTATACACAACATCAGCCATGTCCAAAAAAAACAAAAAAAGTGCTTTATCATCCTAAGAATAATTTATGGGCTACTATGTGTTCATTACAGGTTAGAAAATGTCTGAGACCGAAAGCCTCCTTAAGAGTTTAAATAACCAAGACACAGAATAAATGAAGCAAATAATTATGAAAGAAACATTATGCTACTTTTATTCAAAAACCTATTACATGAACCAAGTTCTTTAAATGGCTTTAGGTGTTCAATTTGCTTTCCCCAAAAGAGAATTTTATTCACAAATACTAATTAGAAATAACATACCCATATTTGAACCATAGTTTTCCTGACTATCCATCATTCTTGGATTCCCAGCCAACACAGGCTGCTTTGGTAACATGGGGAAAGCGCTGATATTCTTCACTGGAGGACTTGAGCCGACAGAAACAGGGCTGTCCAGAGACACTGCTCGGTTGTAGGGAGGCCGAACGGGCTGCACAGACTGTGGACTCCTCAACCCTGTTGAAACACAGAAGCACAATACATGCAGATATCCTCTGATGATTCAGTGCATAAGGAATCAAATAAAAGGCATGATAAAGCTAATACCACCCACCCAAGAATGTCTTTCTTACTAAAACAAACACTATCTTCCTTTACAACATAAACTCTAAGTACAAAAAAAAAACAAAAAAAAAAAAACCACCACCACCCAACCTCATATTCCAAACAAAGTAGAAACAAGAGTCTCAGTGTTGGCTGAAGTAACGGGCAGTGACTTGTAGCCTGATGTGGTTAATTCCTATTCTGCTTCACTTAATACTGAAAATATTACCAATGTTTCAAACTCCTGAAGGTTCTTCCCATATGTCTACTTATTAAATGGCTTCTGTTTAAAATTTTACAATGAAGTGTAACCAGATCTATTGCCTTCTAATCAAACAAGAAATAAACCATTCAGATAATTGTGAATTATTGTTTTTCAACTGATATATATAATATATCTTTATTAAAATGATAGACAAGTAAAGACAAGGCTACAGAAGAGGCTAGGTAAGAACTGGCAAACACCAAAGGAGAAAAGTCTCATAGTGACAGGACAAGACGCGGTGAGGGTCAGAGGACAGGTTTCGAGCTACAGTTGTGGCTGCCCTCTACTCCAGTTCTCTGTGCCTGGAGAGATACATGGCCTCACAGCCACTCCTCGTCTGGACCAACCAAAGATTAACATTTTCCTGTAAGTGCTGTGACTACTAACACCATTAGTTAGAAATGGGAAATTTTTTAAAAGTAGGAAAATGTCCCACAAGTTTTTTTTAAAACACATGGTTACAAATTAGAGTAAGAAACTGAGAGGCAGAATACGCATTTTGATGTCCTATATGCCAGCTGGACCCTTATTCTTAATGTTACAGTACATACAAGTGCACAGAAAAGTCTAAAAAACAGCAAGAATAAAACTCAATCTTTCTTACCCAAAGAATTAGTTCCGTGAAGCACCTGTTGCTTGGTTCCCAAATTACTACCATTTGTGGACATAGAATTATTGTAAAAGTCAGAACTAGTCAGATCCCCAAGAATAGCATCTAGGTTATCCAAATCTCCAGGTCCCTGAAAGTAAAATTTTAAAAATTAACCTGTGTGCATGACTAGATAAGTACCTGAAATAATTCCCTGCTTAAAGGCTGGCAAATTATGACCCCACCTTGTCTTCTTCCTTGAAAGAACAGTTCAAACTACTAAGATAAATCCCTGGGTTTAGAAGTGCTTTCTAAGGGATATTTCCCGAATTTACCTTAGACGTTTAATTCTCAAACCGTAGGATATTTTCCAGCTAACATTAACCAGAATCATTAGCAGACAGAGATGTCTGCATACATAATTTCTGAAAACAAGTACAATTAATACTAAAAGCAACCAGCTGATGTTCAATATGATATTCATAGGCATGCTTTAAAAGGGGCTTTTGATCAATAAATTTAGAGAATACTAGCTTAAACAAAGTTAAACACACATCCCAACAGTGGGACTCCTCCAAGACTTTAATTTTCTCAAGCACATATTAATGTCTCCCAGAAGTGCTCCTCAAGCAAATTTGGAACGTGCTTATAAAGAATGTGATTGTGTACATAAAATCTGATTTTAAATAAAGTCACATTTGCTATTGCTTAATACAAAAGTGCCCCCTCAACAAGTTTCTATCATACCCTTAATGACCTCATCTGCTCATTCCAACAGTAAACACACCCATGAGAAATTTCAAATTGGCTACTAACAAGTCAGTCACATTTTAAAGCATATACATGTGATAATTCAAAATTGCATAATACGCCTTACTGATGCCCCCCAAAAATCACAAAGAAATGACAGCTCAAGATTAACTTCCATTATATAAATCTACAACAGAAGATAAGAATTTATGTAAAAAACATTGTCTTTCTAACACAGAAATGCAATGATGAAGCAATGACAAAGCTGGAATGTAGAGAGAACAGATTACCTCTTCATTTGCTTCTGTCTTAATTTTAGCGTCCTTCTCTTGACTCGAGCTGGGAACAGCGGAGCTGCTGCACTGACTCATCTTGTTGTCCACGCCCTCCACCTTGGGTTGCAGTTCTTTAGAGAGTGTGTCACTGGGGTCATCCCTGTCCAGCAGGTATCTAAGTAGGGCATTATTTTCCTTCTTCTTAGGACTTAGTTGCTCCTGCTTGACGTTACCTTCCACACAAAATGCTGTACTACTAGTGTCTTTCCCAGTGGCTTCTGCAGTAATCTTGGCTACTTCGGCTGGTGAGTTCCCATTCTGCAGCAACTTGTGCAAAATCCGGTGCTTCTCTTGTAGCAGTGACCCATGCATATTGGATGTGGAGGACACTCCAGATGTTGAGGAGGAGACCCCAGAGGGGCTGGTCACACTAATGGAAGAGTCTTTACAACTTGAATCCAGGGGAGAGTTGGTCAAAGAGGAATGACCCCGCTCATCAGAAGAACAGGTAAGTAACTGCAGTAATTTTTTATGGCCTTTGCTCTCCAGAGGGCCCCGTTGATTCTCTGACCCTTCGACAGTGCTCTCCTTACTGTCTTTGTCACTGAGGTGATCCCTGCTATTTGACTGACACACTGAACTCTCCACTGGATTCTGGTCACAATACAAGCCTAAGGGACTCTTCGAATCCTGGCTGTTCACTTTATTTGGTTGAGTTATATTCATATTGGGAGAGCTGTCCAATTTGGGGCCTGGTGAAGACAGAGTAGATAAGAGAGATGTCCCCACGCCTTCACTGATAGCTTGAAGGGCACTGAGAGAGCTGCTGGAAAAGCTGTGGCTCCCTGTGTTGCCAGAAGACCCCATGGGAGAGTGCACGCCTGAACGTGGAAAAAAATGAGGAAAAGAATTAGACTACCACATGCTATAACAAAAGAGCACTTAACTCTTCAGAGTGTCTATTATAAAATGAATTAACTTCACAACAATTACAGTGGTATGGAAAGAAAAGAATACGGAAAAAGAAAACGCCACCAGAAATACCTGCAGCAGGAGAAAACTGATGTGAGGCCATCTTCGGACTCCCACGATTACGAGGAGAAATCATGATACTCTGCTGGCTGGAGCCAAGACCAGGACTCCCATGGGGGGGGCTGCTCATGTTGAGACCATAGCTGTTGTTCTGGTAGGAAGGCGGTGACTGCATGGCTGGCCCAGGGTTCACTGCAGCTATGTTACCGGAAGCCCCGTACCTAGCTCCACTCATTTGCCCTGTGGTGCTGGGGTCAGCCAAGCCATACGTCCTGCTATTCAGCATCTGTATTCCTTGGTTTGGTGACATACTCATGCCACCTACCGAACTATTACATCCAGCCACTGGAGGTCTAATGCCTTGTCCAACAGGATTTGGGTTTGGTCTGTACCCATTCTGTTCCCTGCAAACAAAGAAAAAAAAAATTATAGGAATGCATTAAAGCCCTGAATCAGATTTTTTAAAAAGGATGAAGTACCCAGGAGTTTAACTCCTTGGGCGTCATTCTGATACCAAGTAACAATACCAATCTAGATACTGATCAATTAATTATTAGCCTAATAACATACTTTTTAATAAGCCACAAAATCTAAATGAGTGATGCCACCACAGGACTGTGAATGGCCAAAAGCTATGTTAACGGGAATCCCGCCCAGCAGGGCTTTACCAGAGTTGCCATCTATCCAGGGGGTTACCCAGGAGGGGCCTGCCGACTACTCAAGATAATCAGAGTCAACTTTGTGTTGTTACCATTAGCAACAGCAACAGTAACTATTCTTAGTCTACCTTCAAATTTCAAATTCAATCCTTAAAGCAATGTGATATATCACTAGAAATGAAAAGCAACAGAGGTAGTCAGATTTTATATGCTCTTTTATCCAACAGCCTTCCCATTTCCTAGATTTCCCAGGAAGTAATTATTTAATGAAGAAATACCCATTTTCACTTAAAAATATAACCTTAAAGAAAACATATTGTAATCTAGGAATCTAAACTCACTTTGGCAAATCTGACATCCTTTTTGCTTTTAGTCTTGCTAACTTCCTCTTTTTACTCTAATAACAAAGCACCCTGCGAACGCCACTGCACTTCAGATGAGAACACACAGGAACCTATCATTACCTCTGAAGAAAGTGGGTGGAGACAAAGCCATGCCGATCATTAGTTACCGGATTTCGGAAGAGTTTGCTTTTTGTCTGTGCCGTCACTATAGTCCCATCAGCCAAAGAGAATCGATACACTGGAGTTTCTGCATGGCCGTGAATATAAGCTGTTGGGGAAAACATCCCATTACTAACAGCTACAACTGCAAACAGATACATATAGGAGGGGAAAGAAATACATTTCAAATGCAACATTTTCAAAATCCAGATGAAAGATTGGACCTGCACCAAAATTATGAACAAGCTAAACTAAAATGCTCAAAATGCATTTTCCTACCCCACACACACCAAACATCGAATACAGTCATGTATATAATCACTGCTTTACAATACACCAAACATGACAACAAACAGTATCAAGAATTAACCTTGAAATTCTTTACCTTCTTGATAGTGACGTTTTTGGGACCATGATTGCCCATCATTATGACTAAAAAATCTCTGGATACACCTTCGGATTGTATCTTCAAAGCCGGGCCTCATAGAGGATCTCAGTGAATTTGTATCTATGTTGACAAGTTTTCCTATTAAATAGAAAATAAAAATTAAAATCCAACCTGCAAGTATTTACATGATGCACACTACATGACTTAGCACTAAAAAATAAAATACACTAAATCTTTGTTCTACCTTCTCTGATCCAAATTTCTGCTATATCCAGAGCTTTCTTCTTGAAGGGCAGAGTCCTACAGGAAACTCTTAAATTAAATGTTGGCTGTAAGTGTGTATAACACAATTCCTTTTACTTTCTTAATGTACAGAAAATACGTCCAGATAACCTGAGGTTCATTTTCATTTAAAGGGAAAAAAAAACCAGTAACAGTAAAACTGTTCATACCTGAAGACACTGCCTGCGAAACTATGAAGCAAGAGAAAATACCTGCCTAAACAGCTGGCACGAACACTTCTCCCCATCTCAGAGGTGACTGCATTTGTTAGACACCTAAAATCTAAACTAGGAGGGTTACCCATTCATGGCCACAAATCTGGAAGTTTCTGACAACTTTTGCTTAACGTCAAATACACTGAAGAAACAAAATACATATGACTCAAAAATGCTGTAAAATTAAAGTAGGTTTCATGAAGACAGTCCTTAAAAATTGGCTAGGCCTTCTCAAGTTCTGAGCAGTACCAGGTAGATTGCAAGAAAAAAACTCCTTACCCAAAGTGGCCAAAAAAAAACCCCAACAAGAATAAAAGTGGCTGATCCATTTTCAAAAAATAATTGGTATGACATGAAAGCACCAGCTTTGTGCAATACAAGAAATACTGGGCAAACACTAATCACAAGGACTTAAGGAACCCAAATTGCCTGCAATGATCTCAAGAGTCTTTCTACTGCGGTGAGCCTTGCCAATCTACAGAATATTTAAATTGCATTTAGAAAATGCAAAATAATTAGTGACAATGTCCAGGGCAAAAACTTTGTGACCAACACCCACAACACGGATTTCTGTGACAAAAATGCAACATGGTACAAAAAAAAAGAGACTATGACTAAAGCTCATGCTGATGTAAAGTCTATTAATGATTGTTTTTCTGTTCTGCAGAGACGGCACTAAAAAAAATGCAACACTCAGATCCAAACAATTTCTTATGCTCAGTACACCAAAAGGTCCACGAAACCCAAAAGATGATGGAAATCATGACACAAGATTAAAGAAGTAGTCAATAACTTGGTTCCTGACAGCATGGAAAAGATGTACAAAAAGTTTGCCAATCTATCCTCTCCATGATATTTTTGCAAGAAAAGTGAAGATGAAGAAAATCAAGTTTGGACTGGAAAAACTAATGGAGATTCACGGCAAAAGATAGTTCTGGAAAAGCTAAAAAGGCACTAATGCTGGATAAGCTGATAAATATGAGCCACTTGTCCAAGAATCTGTTTAAAATTCAGATCTTCAATGGTGACAAATAAAAATCTTATTAATGGAGGAAAAATGACTAGGTAGAAGAGACACATGCATTCTAGAAAGAGTAAACACTTGTGTGCTCTGCCAAGAACTAGAATGATCTATCCTCAACCACCTCCCCTGAACTTAGCCCTGAAAGCCCCATGACAAACACAAAATAGGTGCTCAGGAAAAAATCATTAAACACATGAGGGACAGAGGATAAAATCTCTCCAGAGGCCAAAAACAGTATTGTGTTGAGAGCCAACCTCCCAGAAGAACGGAAAGCAAGCGGAAGGTACCAACTGTACCTATAGTAAGATGGCTCTCAGATGCTAACCAGACTAAAGTATTTGATTTTTTCTTGCTTGGCAACTTCTAACTTTTATCATGAATGTATTGCTTCTGTACTAAGGGAAGATACTAATGAGAATTTTTAAAGGTTCTACTCACTAAACTGGTTAGGTAAAGATGTGTTATTTAGTATTTCCAGTAAAGGTAAAGTACTGTTATCTAGGGAAAAAATTCAGACTGACAAATCATAGCAGATGCAGTAAACAAACATTCTGAAAGGATAATACATAAAAATTGTTGTCCTAAGGTTTGATTATCTCAAGCTAAGACAAAATTTTCAAATAGAAAGAATATTCATCAGTGTAAACAGATTAAGAATTTAGAATACAAGTAACTTTTTTGCTTTTTTTATATCTGTGAAAATTAATCTCAAGCAGCCTCCAGGTAAGTAACTGAGCCTGGCATAAAATAGTTGATGATTGTGAAAATAGTTATTTTAACAGTGTACATATCATTTTTATATGTGTGTGTAAATATATACATATATAAAGACATATAAAACTATAGTCTTGTTATGTTTATTTAAACCTACTACATTTTATCCAATTATTGAAAGTGCACATGGTGGACACTAAGCAAACAGGTCATGCTCTGAGATCAGGCAGAACTGTCTGCAAATTCTCTTATTAGCCATGACCTTGGACAAGTAACACAACCTCTCCATCACCAGACCTGTTTCCTCATCTCTGAGATGCATCGTATGTGATAAACCCTTGGTATCACCATTTAGGTTTAAAGGGTCGTAAGGCTGACCCTGAAGGTGAATACAGAAAAACACTGCCCCTGTGTTTCATTTCATCATGTGCCTTATCAACTACATTGGCTTCAATTCTTTACTCCTGTGGTGAAAAAAAAAGGGCAGTCCAAGTCTGAAGTTCATGTTGATGTCAAGAATTACTCATGGCCCGTATCTTTGAAAATGTATTTCTTTATGAAAAATGGGTCTGAAGTTAGAGAAAAAGTATCAATCTCTGATTTGAAATGCTATTTGGAAAGAACACCAGGTGCTTTCTCTCAAATGCCAAGGGTTTTAGTGAATCTCTCTCAGGCCTGTGTAAGAAATAGAGGAAATAATCTATGCAAAGCATTCATTACAGTGGATGCAGCCTGACAATGCAATCCATAGAAATTAAAGTTAACCTTTCAAAAATTTTCTAAATGAGCAAAATGCATATACACGAAGTTTTTACCTGAAAGATCATGCCTCGTGATAAAGCTCTCAGGGTTGGATGGGAATGCTCTTTCTCCCGTAGTAATGCGGCGTGCCACACAGATCATACAGGACTGCAAATCTACGACAAAAACTTAACCAAGTAAGCAATCTATGGAGCTGTTAAATACATCTATGGAGCTATTAAAATACACAAGGGCATGAAATTGAGTAAGCACTATAACAATGGAATTTACAAAACTGTAAGTTTGACTGCTACTGGTCTGATAAAAGATAAACATCATATACATGTGATCACTCTTACCTTCCCCCTCCTCCATCATAGCTCGTGGCTGAGACAGGGCAAAGCACTGCATGGTTTCGTATCTCTGGCGCATTTCGGGACTAGTGTTTATGTCTTCCAGAATATCATGTGGTGCTTTCATCAACATACGGCAATTAAACGTGTGGCTTTTTTGTCTCTGTGTCTCATTTGTCCAGGCAACTCCATTAACTTTGGAAAATAAATTGAAAGAAGTTTTTTAAAAGAATGGCAATTCAGTCCACGACCATCATCAAAAACTCAAGCTATATTTCCTCATTAGTTTTCCATAGTAACATCTACGCTAACACTGCAAGGTGGCAATACAACAGAGTTCCCCTTCATCCACAGTTTCAGTTGCCTGTGGTTGACCATGGTCCAAAACTATTAAATGAAAAATTCCAGAAATAAACAATTCCTAAGTTTTAAACTGTGCCTTCCCACCCCACCCTGCCTGGGACCTGAGCCACCCCTCCATCCTGCATAGCCATGCCGTACGTTCTACCCACCTGTTGGTCACTTCATAGCTCTGTTAGTTATCCGATCAAGCGGCTCAGTAGCAGTCCTTGTGTTCAAGTAACCCTTACTCTACTTAGCAATGGCCCCAAAATGCGAGAGCAGTGACACTGACAATTTGGATATGCCAAAGAGAAGATATAAAATGCTTCCTTGCCCTCACCAGCATGACTCAGTTGGTTGAAGCATCAGCCCGAAGACCAAAAAGGTCGTGGCTTTGATTCCCAGTCAGGGAACATACCCAAGTTGCAGGTTCGATCCCCAGCCAGGGCACGTACAAGAAGACAACCAGTCAATGTTTCTGTTTCACAGCTCAATCTCTGTCTCTCCCTCTCCCTTCCACCCCATCTTGTCTCTCTAAAAGCAATTTTTTAAAAAAGTCCTTGGGTGAGGATAAAAAATAATAATAAAATAGAATGCTTCCTTTAAGTGAAAAAGGCATGGGTGCATGTACAGAAAGACAGCATAGTATATATAAGATTTGGTGCTACCCAGTTTCAGGAATCCACCGGGGTCCTGGAACGTATCCCCCGAGAACAAGGGGAGACTACTGTACATAAAACACTGAAATAATCTCCACTGAAACGCAACTCTCACTGTGTATTTTGGCCACATGACATGCATACCATATTCTAAGTTCACAGAGGTAATATCTGAAAATTTTGCTATTAAGCATTTGCCTTTCTATGCAAATTTAATCACTTGGCTTCCTAAAAGGTACATTCAATTTTCTAAGACATGAAAAAAATTTTTTCAACTTATTCAGAAAATGTACATTGAAAGCCTACCTGTAGATTTTGGTAAGTTTTTAAGGAAATCCTTTCTGTCTTCTTCATGCAAGATATTGTAGACACTTGTGTTAACCAGGTCTTCTTGCTTATACTGCAGGTACTGTGTGACATTTTCTGACACAAATACAATGTTTCCATCACGATTCACCACAAACAGGAAACCATCCAATGCCTAAAGTAGGAAATGTTAATATTGGATATTATGGACTGCACTATATCCCCACCAAAATTCACATGTTGAACCCCCTAACCCTCAATGAAGACAAGGCTTTCAGGAGGTAATTAAGGTTAAACGAAATCATAAGGGTAGGACTCTAAACTAGTAGGGCTGGTGTCCTTACAAGGAGGAAGGGGCAGGGGAGAGGGAGACAGAAAGAGAGAAAGACAAATACACACACACCCCCGGGGATATACACCCATGAAGACAGATAGAAGGCAGCCATCTACACAAACCAAGGAAAAAGGTCTCAGGGGAAAAAAAAAGAAAAACAAGCCTGCTCACACCTTGATCTTGGATTTTCAACCTCCAAAATTATAAGAAATAAATTTCTGCAGTTTAACCCACCCAATCTGTGGTATTTTATTATGGCGGCCTTAGCAGACTAAAACACCAGCCTTGGTACTAAATAGAATTTTAAAAAACTACTGTTGATGTAACATTAACTGCAAACAACTATCAGGCACCAATTCTACTAACCTTAGCACCATTACTACAGGAATCTATAAAAAATAAAAAGACAGCCCTGGCCAGTGGCTCAGTTGGTTGGAATATCATCCCATACACCAAAAGGTTGTGGGTTTGATTCCTAGTCAGGGAACATACCTAGGTTGTGGGTTCAATCCCCAGTTGGGACACATATGAGAGGTAACCGATGTTTCTCACTTCGGTGTTTCTCTTTCACATTGATGTTTTTCTGTTTCTTTCTTCCTCTCTCTCTCCCACCACTTCCCACCCCACACCCTTTCCTCTCCCTCTAAAAACCAATAAACGTAACCTCGGGTGAAGATTTAAAAAAATAAAGAAGGACAATTTCAAAAAGTAAAGACAAATCTGTCAACATAAAATCAATTAATGTCTAACCTGATTTTTGAAGATGTCTTCAAAGCTTTTAAACAAATAAAAAACAATCACCCTTAGCACCTCCCATTTGCCACCAAGTCAAGCTACAGGAACTACACTGCTCCTTAATGAGAATTACAAAGAGAAGACTGATCAACTAAAAAGTAGCTGGAAAAACTAGGTGAAACAAAAAAGTTGAAAAGTGAACTTTATGAAGGGCTTCGGGCCCTGACTTCAAGTAAGAGAAACATTATGTAAGCACTGTAAGTTAATCATATCTATTTAAGACGACTACTTAGAAAACAGTGCACACTATGTCTTAAAACTTCCTGCCAGAAGGGAGGATGGTCGGTGAAGAAGGTGAAGGAATTGAGAAGTACGGATTGGTAGTTACAAAGTAGTTATGGGGATGTAAAGTACAGCACAGGAAATACAGTCAACAATATTGTAGTAACTGTGTATGGTGCCAGGTGGGTAATATTAGGGGGAACATTTTCTAAAGCATATTGTCTAACCACTATGCTATATACATGAAACTAATACAAAATAATACTGAATGTAAACTGTAACTGAAGTTTCTTTTTAAAATCTAAAATTCCTCAAGAATATAAAACTGTAGTATGCTTATGATTAATCACGCAAAAATGCAGAGTCTGAAGTACAAAAGTGCCCGAATACTACCTTTGACATTATGTGCTGCCTTTTCCTCTCCTGTTCGCTTTCTCAGTCTGCAACTACATTTTATAAGGGGCACTCTCTCCCCTGCGAACCTCCTGAGTTACAGATTTTGTAAAAATAAGAGTATTGTATCATCATATTCAAAATACTGAGTTCTGTCTCATAAAAAGAAATGTCTTTTCGTTCTCATTACCTGACCAAAATTTCAACAATTTTTTTAGAAATCGACACAGCTTACAGGATAGCGAAAGCCATGCACTTGCCTGAAGTAAAAGTGGTCCCAAGGAGTCTTTATCAATAACCCCTTGTCCTGTAGAAGATACATCAGCTTTCTGAACATCATCATCATTGGAAATAGCTTTTCCTAAAAAGACAGAAAGCAGTACTACAAATACCACATATACCAGTGACAGATTAAATTCACCTTCAAATAGTCCCCAGAACAGAGAAACACACACATGCATGCCTATGCACATACACAATTATTTCCTTATCAGGAAATAATATTTCCTGATTAAGACAGTGCTATAATTTTTAAATGTTAAAATTAAACTTCAGAGTTACCCAGGAGGGCAGAAAATAAAAATACCCTAAATATTCTCTCACTACTACATGTACTACTGTCCCACGGCTTCCTGAAAAAGAACTAACATTTGATATGGTGAGCAACACTGGCCTTCTTCCAATCCTCCTCGGTAACAGTTTCCTAAAGAGTAAAGCTGGTCAACTCATTTGTCCAGGTCCCATAGAAGCTAGCCTCAATTAGTAGTAGCCCCCACCTAAGCAACAAGGCAGCAAAAAGACAAATGTAAATACAGTTAACAAGTTCCTTCTAAAAGACTTGAGTCTTTTTCTTACTTTGTATTACCTTGTTCTTTTATTTGTCGAATCTGTCTTACTGTTTCCTTTAAAATTACACACTTATCTGGTTTGACATTGAAATTGTCAATATCACTAAGATTAGCAGATATCAGTTCAGCCAGTTCTTCAATATATTTACTCTCCTGCTCCCGTCTCCACTTTTCACCACTGCAGGTAAGACTACGAAGAGGAGGGGGTGGGGGGAAAAACCATGAATACGTCTATCACAAAAGAGTGGCAGGCAGAATCAGTCCCTACACAACATCATTATCTTCATATGTAAATAAACTAAATTCAGCCAATAAAAACTATGAAAACATTGTCTCAGAGAGGTAGTACAATACAGCAGAAATTCACATAAACCTAAATTCAAAAACTGGGGATAAATATTAATAATGAAGTTTTACTACAAACTATAGATTGTATTTTGCAACTATCACATTAAAATTCAAATTATATTAACCTTGGCAAATACTAAAATGGCTACCAATATCAGTGCATAAAATTCAGTATTTTATTTGTTTTTTAATCTTCTAACTTCATTCAGGAAAAGAATAAGCCTCATAAATGCCAAAATATAAACTTATAACATGTCTTAAAAATATTAAAAATCCTTATTTATAACAATCTTGGTTATCTGTTCCTAATTCCTACCTCTTCTGTTGAGAAATGCTTCTTACAGCACCACACTTAGTATAATATTCTCACTTCTATCTAAATCTAAATCAGCAAAAGCTTCAATTACATCATAAAGATGTCCATATCATCACTGTATCCCTCTATTTATACAAAGCAAAACAACAGTATTTAAAGAAAGACAAAAACAAACAAATAAAAATTTCCCAGAGAATTTAAATAACAAAGTTGGAATGCTATCTTTAAACCAAAAAAATAAGGGAAAGGGGGAGGAGACCTTGGTGAAACAGAAAATAAACTGCCTACCCTTGTCCTGGGGTATCACATGGCAATTTGCGTTTCCGTGAATCGGGCACCAGTGGATCCAAGGGGTTTTCTCCTAATCCACTCATTGTGAATGTACATCAGCAACTAAAAGAGAGTAAGATAAAAATATTACAAAATATCTGTGACTCAATAAAGGTACTATATGCCTGAATGACTCATATCATGTAATTCAGAACTACTTTCCCTAACTGGTTAGATAATTCTCAATATTCTTTATAACAAATGAGTATTCTGAAGATACCCTCAGAGTTCATATTCCACTTTGATTATACAGAATATCCAACCCCACGACAGAAATGTTCCTCAAGTGCTACTAAAAATGTGTACACTGAACAGCTCACAAAGAATTAGTCATCTTCTTCCTATTAAAAAGACAAAGAGACCACCAACTCTTTGATTGATAGAACCCTAATTTTATTTATACCCAAGTAAGCACAAATAAGGGCTCATCATTTGGTAAGAAGTGTTCAAGATAAAAGTCTAAATCATTTCAGATTATTTTCAAGGCAGCACATTTTTTTTCTCCAGATCATTTCATTAATATTTATCATCCAATATGTTTTTCTCATGTTACTTCAAAATAAACCAAGACTGGTAAATAACATGTAAACTCCATTACATTCTGCTTAGATGTACAACAATAAAACTCCAGGTGAAAGGAGGGATTTTGACAAGATCCATAAGCAACAATTATTTTAATATTAACTGATGGAAATATAATATGCTTTGATTAAAGTTTGACTAATAAAGAAAATAAATGTAAGGTGTTTCTTACTGAAAAAAAGAAACAGATTTTAACACTGAGGAGCTCATAATTTTAAGACTTCAACTAAACCTACTAAACCTTCACTTAGAGTTTTATTTGTCCTGAACTCTTATTTAGGAAAGTAGTCATTATTTTAAAGAATTCCAAGTCAACCAAGAAGTTCAAACATTCCAAACTATGTTTTCTGAACATGTTACAATGCAACTTGCATTCCATCTACATTCTGAGACATACATTAAGGGACATAAATTTCCACTAGGTGGCACAACACTACCAAGAAGGGAAATGAAATAAAAATGTAAAATTTCATACACGATGATGATCAAACTTAAAATATATAGCTTTAAAAAAAATCAAAGTCACACAATCAGTAATCAGGAGTTCTAGATTACGCCAATGTCTTAACAGATGCTATGGGTATGAAATAAATACCAACAAAATTTATCTATAATTTTGATAGTAAAATATAAAGGCTGGAATACTGAGATGTTTTCAGCACTTGGTGTTTTTCTTCCCTCACAACATAAGTTAAAATAAAGAAGAGAAAAAGAAGTTAAAATAACTGATTACTAGTGCCTTAATGTTAGGATTTTAAAGTATACTCAGAATGCAATCCAATCATAGGACACTCTCAAGCTCCTGACACAGAAAATTACTATAGTAGACTTTTTATTGAATCAGAACCCAAAGGCCCAAAATGTGTTCAATAGGAACACAACTGTGTAGACCTTTGAGCCATTTTTACAATTATATTCTTTGTGTGAAATAGTTCTACTGAAGAGTTCTATGCTATACCACTTACATATATGGAAAAAGAAAAAACACATTAACTTTACAGTCATCCCTCAGTATGCATGGAGATGGATTCCAGGGCCCCCCTCAGACACCAAACTCCATGGATGTTCAAGCCCCTTATATAAAATGGCATAGAACAGTGCAAACAGTCTGCATCCACAGATTCCCAACCACGGATCAAAAATACTGCTGGATACAAAGGTCACAGATACGGAGGGCCAACTATAACGTTAAGCAAGATATTCTATGCAATTACTTCAAGTACAGAATAGTTGAAATTTAGAATAACTTTCAATGCTATCAATATAATTGTACCTATGTCTATATAATTTGAAAAAAATTAGAAGCAGATCCAGGATAAATCGGATTTTACACAAGCAAGAATCTTATAGCAACTGAACAGAATTTCTTATACATAAATACTGTAGGCCTTTCCTATATGAACCAAGCTATGGTACATGTTTTAAGCTTAGACATGAACAAAATAAAACAAACTGCTAGAAAATGAACATTCCTAAGCTTTAATTCAGGCTGAAAAGCAGCAAAGAATTACACTGGTCAGCTCAAAAGCCATGAAAATGTTATATATGGCTTAGCAGCAATAACTAGCTTTCCTTTTGGTTATTCAAGGTTGAGACAGGAGGCAAAATTTTGATTGTGTACAACAAACTAGCCAGATAGACAAGGATACAGGAAGTACTTACTCCCTGTCCAAAAGGAAAAGATAATGATCAACAATGCTAGTGTCACTAGGCAAGCAAAAAGTCATTTGGTGGGGGCCTAAGAAAAGCCACGCCATGCCAAAATGGGGAAGAGATAGGTTACCCAGTAAATCTCGACTGGCATAGAGACCACCTAAAATATTTTACTTTTTCTAAATTAGTAAGGATATAACTTTTGTGGCTATAGTGCTGGGCATATCGCTTACTTTTTTGTAGTTTCTCATAGTGACTCTCCAAGGTCCGTTTTATCATTCCCATTGTACAGATACAGAAATCGCTACGTAACTTTCCACTAGATCACACACAGATATGCGATGACAGAGCTGAGACGACATATCTTCAAATTTTATAACCAATAATACATATGTATCAAACATTTCTTGGACATTTTATCTCACCATTTAACCATTTACACTGTTGAATCACCCCATCTCCAAGCAGTTAACCAGAAAATTTCTGGGCTGATCAGTAGGAGCACTAGAAAGTTACTACATCCAGGGTTAAGGGCATTCAGTATCAGGGACAGAGGCAAGGAACTGCTCAAGTTCAGCAGGTACTAAATGCTGCTACTCCCTTCAAGCCCCTAAAAACTAAACATTACAAGTCACCAAATTATATGCTCTCTGATATGGTCTAATTAATCATTGGCCCTGATTTCCACTTGAGATGACGAACAGCCAGTGGCTTATACAGCCAGAAAAAAAACTTGAGATCAGTAAAGCACAAACTGCACCCTAAAATAGTCTATCAAGTGTTTTTATTCTTGGATTTTGTAAGAGTAAATGCTCGGGCCGAGAACTCTCTGACTGTCCCACCAGTAATTTAGTTTATTGGTCAGGCTTGTTTCCCTGACTTACACAAGATATGATTAATATGTGAATTAGGGAGTGTTCCTGGGAGTCTCCTGAGAAGCACAGTAACTTAACAAAATTTTTCAAACGAATGTAGATTTGATTTATTAAAAAGTGCTTGAAGTACTAAAAGCAGATACTGCTCAAGCCAATTAGAACAAAAAATTGCCCTTGAGAAATTTTTGAGACATCTGTACATAAAGGCACTGCCCAAAACTAGACACTCTTACTCAAGCCACTGTAGCAGATAAGTCACCAATAGTTAGTCTAAACGTTTAATCCTACAAGATTATATCAAAGGTATCATTTCAATCTGTTGTGCAATTCCAAGAGAACCAGCACTGTGGCAGAAAGAACTGAACAAAACAGTCTGTGTGTTTTCAGGGTGCAGGGAGAGGCAAGGGAAGAGGTAAGCCACAAGCATGGAACCACTATGAAAGCTTTGTCCTCCAGTGAGTGTGTCCAACGTGTGTTTTAATTCTACCCTGGGAAAAAGAACAAGAGCTGCAAAGAGATAAGGAAGGGAAAGGGGGAAATTACCAAATAAAAACTAATTGGCAATATCCTTTTGTTTTATTGTTGATAACCTGTTATGTTTAGTAGGATAAAGCATAAACTACCTAATGCAATCTATTTTTCAATTTAATTCCATTCAGCTCAAACATTTACAGGCCCAAAGCCATTTTAGGTCCAGAAAACAAATGAATGACATCACACACTGCCAAAACTCACAGGCTAGCAGAAGAGGAAAACGTGTGAACAATCATAATTTGGTGTTTCAAATGAACGCAGTGTAATCAAGTGCATGGGAACACATCTGACAGGAAGCCTACCAACCTACAGTTTTTTTTTTTAAAAGGAAAAGTATATAAAGGTGTCTATAATAAACTATCTTGGTGCAGACATACGCTAGAAAATGCTGTAATCTCAGGTCCTGGTCATTTCTCTTCCTCTATCTATATATTATATATGTAAACTATATCTATTATAGTTTATAATGCCAGCAGATTTAGAAAGGGGCTACCAGAGAGCACAAAGTAAAATATCCTGTTTTTAATACATAAGTTGAGCTGAAAAACATCCGAATGTACATTAACAGCCACTTTATCCGCAACGTTTCATTCCTTCCACTCCTTGTGTATGTTTGCCTTTTCATTCTCAATCAACAGGCTGACTCCAAAGGCCCTTCACATTTATGCTCCAGTTTAAATCTGATGAAGGTGAACTCAAACACAAACTCTCCAAAGGCTCTAGTGCCAGAACTGGGCATACCCATTAGCCAAGACAGGTGCTGGTTGCAACTGGAAGCTTGCTGCCAAGAGACTTTTCAGCCCCTACATACACAACAGAGTTGAAGTTCACAAACACACACTGTGCAGAGGCAGTTAAGCAAGCCAATTCCATCCAAATCAAATTACCCTCTCCTGACAGCATACTAACTAGCTAGGTAATTCTTTAGTTGCTTTAAAGGTTACACTGACTCCTACAATTTTATGCATTGAATCTCTCTTACACGTAAGGACAGACCTAAATTTAAGCCTCATAAACCTGATTTCAGCTTCATCCTAAACAACAAACTATCAGTCACACTTCCTCCTCATCACCACCACTATCAGCAGCCACTCAAATGGCCTATGCTGAGGGAAACTTTTGACAAAGGATGATCACTGAAATATTTCCTATTGTTTTTAATCTTAGGTCCTTAATTTCTCTTTATATCTCCCCCCTTCATCCCTCTTCTATGTAGAATACTCCTAACTCATCCTTCAAAACCAAGCTGATCTGCCACCTCTGGTGAAAGCACTGCCAACTCTCCCAATTAGAAGTTTCCCCTTCTTTATCCTGATCACTTTTCAGACTTCAATTACAACATTTTACAACATCACACTCCTCTCCTCTTCACCCTTCTGTCTCCACTTTCCTCATACAACGCTAATCCATTATAAAAAT